CGTTGCAACCGGTTGAACTGAAAACACAGTTTTCTCAATTACTTTCAACAAGGATCTGTAAACAATCTTTAAAAAAGCAATAAAAAAGCGGGCGTTTCTCAAAACTTTTTATCTATCTGATACTGATTTAAATATTTCCTAATAAATCTTTAAGGTGTTGCTACAGCAAAATATTCTACTGTCAAAATATTTAGAAAATAATCGTTTAACATGATATCGCTTATGAGTTATATTCAAATACAATTGTCGTTGTTAAATAATATTAACCAATTGAATTTATCGCATAGCAATATAATTATTCTCCGCGTTTCTAGATTATAAAGAATACCATGTTTTGTCAATGCCAAAGCATCGCTAGAGTAATTGTAATTTGCATTTATAGGTATCTCACTAATTATAATTATAGCAATAAGTGAATACAAGACTTATTCCGTAGTTATACATGTAAATTTCGTGTATTCAATTGTGTTTGTCTGTTCGTTAAATTTTTTGGAATAAGTCTCGAATTTTCAAGTCGCAAAATAAGGGTACAAAGTGAAGTTTATTATTAATCTTCCAATTGTGACGTTAATCACGCTGTACAATCGATGGTAAAAGTGTTTCGACAATTAACTCCTTTGCAATCTCAAAACATGAAAGTTTAAAGTCTTAATTTATTGTTTTATTTGCGAAGACACTTTTCTCTGCGAATGTACACGTCTTTCTAGACGTAATCCATCATGACATTAATGTTATATGTATCGCCTTATGTTTCCACTGCCAGTCAGATGTACAAAATGTGTTGTTATCTCTGTCATTCTCTTTAGGAAAAAAGAGGTAACAATACATTCTTTGTACGGTTTTTACCGCCAGTGGAAATATAGGGTGATGTTCAGCGCGAAGCATAGCATCTGATGTGACGTGCCATATCGCTGTGTTAAATTTAATATAGTTTTATTTAAACGTCAAGACTCGAATATAATTGTGGCATATTGTGTCCGTTATTATCGCTGATTAACAGCTTTTTGGCAAACTGCAAAAGATTCTAAGGGTGAATATCGAATATGAAGCTAAAAATTGTCAATACAAAAAGCTTTTGCGTTTTAGTTTTTAAAATAGTCAAATTTTTCATAAAATTAAGGCAAAATTGTACGATTCAACGATATGTGTATTCAATCAACGTTACTTGTGTATTCAAAACTGTACTATTAAGAAATTATTGTTAATTATATTCACCCTTACGTTCTTCTGCACGTAACATTCATATGTTTTATCTGTGAAAGTACATTCACATAGAAATATCCTATAGATGTCCGGAGCACAAAATGAGACGGCAAAAATGGTTCCAGAGACCTTTACTGGCTCTAATTTTCGTCACATAGACAAATGACATTATGAAAATCTGCTCTCGGTGAAACGTCAAACTGGTATGAAATTCATTTATAGGTTATAAATCTATGTACATTGATCAGAAAAACTGATAGCATGTTGAGTGAAGTGATAGTAACATGTAAACTGATGTAGACGTACATTGATATTGTAAAATACGCCAGACAATAAATTATTTATCACATATTGACTTCATTGTGTCATTATTTCCATTATTGCCTATTTAGATTAATCCCATATCAACAATTACAGCCAACTACTGTAGTTGTGAAAATCAAAGAAAAAAAATACTTATTTAAACATCCAAAGAGCATGTATGCGTTAATGTATAAATGTAGGCGATAGAGGAATGCTAGGAGCGCGCCAAAAGGATGTCTGTAATCCTAGCCTTTTTTCCAAGTGAGGAAAATGCATATGCATCACCACCCTTAAAGGGCCAAGAGCAGAGTTGGACTCGCAACGACCCAAATCGTCAGTGTTCCGCATGTTGGTGGGGCCACGAGAACGCTTGCACACACATCCGCGAACTCACCTGCGCCTACCGCCGAGGCAACACTGTTCCTTCAATAAAACAAAACAAAACAAAGTTCAACTTTTAATACATTTATTAAAATGTTTTATTTAACTTGCCGAGTATTTTCTGATATTCTTTACAATACAAATAAAAAGTATCTTTTGATGATATATTTTTAAGTGATAGTTGTGACATCCTGTATAATATATATTTTATAAACTAATGTACTAGTAAAAGTATGATTATAGTACATAAAATATTGCCAATACAAAAAATATTAAATGTAACAAAACAATTTCAATCAGGACTGTACTCGTCTGACGAATCATCACCGTACTGTTCTTTGAACTGTTCCGAATCTTGTTCTTGTCCATAGTAGAAACCATCATCACTATCCTCTTTGTAACCCTCAATTGATTCTTCATCCAGGTCCTTTATCCTACTGCAATGTATAAGACTTCTGTTATCTGGTAGACCGTTCTCCTCGGTCATGACACGAGCTTTATATTTGGCATATGCTGATCCGAAACGCTTCACATCTTCATTGAAAAAATCTGGTGGATCTTCATATATTTTATCCTCACCTGTATCACTTGAAAGATCATCCTCTGGAAAGAACATTTATGCATACAAACTTTATGTAGTACAAGTACAAAATAAAATTTTAGGAAATTGACGACGAAAAAAAATTTTAGTGAAATGGTATCTGCAAGAATGGTATAACAGATCTTAATTAAATTTGCCATAATTAAAGAACATAGTACGGAAGAATACATAAACTACTTATTAATTGTTTTTAATTCCACATGGATGGAGTCGCAGGCAACAACTAGTTGTTTTAGAGTCTAAGATGCAAGCTAGTCTCAGAAAGTAGTAGCTACATACCTATATCACAATTTTCCATTGCCTTTATCATATCTTCTTCATTGATACTGCTCGCCTCCGAGTCTGGATAATCATTTCTCCAATTGTTCTCATCATTGGAGTCATCATCATCATCTGCCCCATCATCAGATGGTGCTTCACCATTCTCTCTGTATGAGTCGAAAACTAGAGCAGTTTCATAATTTTCAATACTGTAATAAGGGAAAAAAACAATTTTCATCCTTAATTAAATAAAAAGAGTAAAATAGCAGATTAACATATACTGTAGTGAAACTAGGATATACGAGAAGCTTCTATAAGCAAGATTCACTTTCTGGTCATTCAAGGCCTCCATAAGCAAGGAACTCGGGTAAGGGAGAAAATAATTACAGTCCCTTGGACTCTCACTTATCCCGGTTCCACTGTACTAAAGAATAATAAGAATATAAAGCAAATATGTTGAAGAAAATTATTTCCATAGAACATTGGATTACACAGAATCTTTTTTAGATTTAATTGTAAACCTTTACCAAGACACAAAAATATCATACTCAATCAAGTGGCAAATACACCTACCTATCTAGTGTTAGGAAGAATATCCGGCGCTGTGCCGGTGTACAGGCGCAACACTAGCCTTATTAAAATATCAACATTAATGTTGATATTTTGACCCTAACTAATCCATCTAACACTTGACTGGGTAACAAAATCAAGCCATTTGCTCTAAAGTAATCTAACTAATAATGTCTAAAACTAGTCTATTACCTGACTAAGTTATCCAACATAGAGACATCAAAATCTGGCTTTATGGAAGTGTATAGGTCATATGTATAACCAACATCTTTTTCTTTTTCACCTGTCTTAGCTAAATCTACCAAATGGAACAAATCTTCAGTGCTCCCCGTGTCCTCTTTGATGCCTCTAAGACAATTCACTACTTCATAACGATTCTCTGCTGACACATCTTTTCTCTCCTTCCGTATCTTTTGAATAATATCTGCCACATTTGATATTGATTTTTGTTTTACATCCTCTTTAGGTACCAAATCTTTTACAAGTATGTGCTCCTGTAAGATAATTGTAATTAAAATATTTTCTACATAAAATCATTGATGCACACAAATTACACAGACTTGCATAAATAATAAAGACAAGAAAATATTTCGAGAATAGTGTACAAAAAAAAGTTCACACGTCCTAGTTATTAGCTAGTTACAAGCAACATTGCGATTTTAATTTCATGTGGGTTTGTAATTTAATGAAATATATAATATACCTGATTATCAACTGTTCCTCTAAAAACAAATAAAGAGGGCGAAATCTCTTCACTGTCGGTTTTTACTCGTTTACATAGAAGTACTAAAGCGTCCTGGGGATTTTCCTCCAATCTTCTTTTAACACGTAAAACCGTAGAAGCAGACATGATCAAAATATATTTATCGTTTCTTTGGTCTTTCAATTTAACAAGTATTGAAATCGATTTCTGTTCAATAAAAACAACATGCCGCACCGCAAACGCAAACCACAAAATCAAAACCTATTGGACAGAGACAGCTGTCATTGTCACTGTCATTGTCGACAGAACGCGTTATGTTTTTCTATGTGGCAAGACAAAAAAGAAAATTCAAAAATTTATGTCTGGTTTAAATTATGCCAGTACAACAGCCCAAATCAGCGCTGACGTACTGACGCCGGTTAGTTTACAGAGTCCATGTCAGCCCAGCGCTATTATCCTACTGCGTTGGCATCATGTCAACTACGCCTTATGCTCTTGGTAAGACGGATAAAAAGTGTTGAAGCGCTCTTTGCTCTGTGATGAAAGACAGTTGAATTACCAATGTTGCTAGAATAAGGAGAATCCTCCAATTTGTGCAAATTTTCGCAATTCAGTAATAGTTGACTAGGAATTGGGTCGTTTCAAAAAAGTGATGACAAAATCTATTACTATTACTACTTTTAAAATTTTACTTGATACGGTGAACCCTTGGCTGGAGGTTTGTATAATTTGTGAATCCATCACTTTGTTAAGTAATAGTGCACCCTCACCCGGCTCTAATTTCATTTAAGAACTACTCGTTTGAACCAAAAATATTTTTTGTTTAAATGCTTTTTAACTGCAGAACCAAAAGACCTGACAAATTTTAAAATTTTGATTTTTGGATAAAAAAAAAGTGTTCTTCCTGTGTGTAGTATTCGGGGAAAATCAAGGATAACATCTGACAACACTAATTCGCGTTTGAGCACGGCGCAATATCTTTGTTCGGATTGGATTGGACACCATTCCATTTCATTCGTCTTCGTTCGTGTTCGTAACTTGGCTTGTTCGGGAATAAAAATGCGTCCTTGACTTTATAGTAGATAAATAGATATCAAAATAAAGATTACGGTTAGATATATTATTGTGATAGAATTTATTTGATTATTTGTGAAGCAGTGCTCAATCCCTGCTTATTAATCAAAAACACAAAATGGATAATCTAAAGCAGTTCAACACAATGGGCTCCGAGGATAACTGGAGAACTTCTAACTTTCGGCAAAACGTCGTATCTAAAATGTAAGTAAAGTATTTCTTCATTATATATTACCAAAATAATTAAAGCTCCAAATTATTTACATGATTTTGGTTGATAACATACCCTATTGCAATAAAAAAGTAAAATATACTTGTTTTATTTCGAATTTTGAGGAAGAATTCTTTAATTAATCTTAGATTTTTTGTCAAGTAGAGAAGAAGAGTACAGAGATGTATGCGTTATAGGTCATTTAAATTACTTATTATTTAATGTTAGACATTTTAGGAAGAACCCTTTTGATATATGATAAACTTTATCCTCATTATATTAAAAAAAAATAGATGAAGTAGTGTTTTTATGCTAGAATTATAAAATATATGATTAAGTATACACATGTTAGTTAGTTAGTCTCTGAGCTGATTAACAGCTATCTAAACGAGAATTTTATATTTGTTGCACCATGTTTGTCAAATTACATACTGTATTTGAATAACAAGTACAATGCCTTACAAACTTTATAGTTGCCCAACCCATAAAATCTTAGTGATGGGTAACATAAAAAGATGTGAGGGCAAAGGCATTTGGGATTTATCTACTTCCATCTACAGTGTGAACACATATTTCCTGACATGTTTTAATATCACAAGGACAATGTAATGTTTGCAGAGAGGATGTGATCCAGCGTTCAGGGATGCAGGTGGCCCGCAACAGTAGCGAGATGGAGAACCATGTGTATATGAAGGCAAAGACCCGTGAGGAATACATGAATATGGTCGCCAAGCTCATCCTGCATGTCAGGGAAATGTGTAAGTTGAAATTATGAGTAATAATATTGGGCAAGATGTTACATTCCGAGTAGCAGTTGAGAATGTACTTTGAAAGTAATGATTGGGGACTAATTTTTCTATTCTATCAAACTAAGATAAGACTTTACTAAACTTTTTAAAGTTTTGTGACATTAAGCAATGCTATTTGTTATCTGTATTATAAAATATTCATAAATACACATTTTAATTGCTAATATTCCAGCACAACCAAAACAAAACCAAGCTGGAGGAGCTATGCAAGGCTCCAACCAGAATCAACCAGGTCCCAACCCACAGGTCCAGAGTCAACAGGGCCAAGCACCACAGGGACCGAATAGCCAACCCGGGCTAGCCCCAGACCCAATAAACGCCCTACAGAACCTTGCCTCCCAGGGAACCAGAAACCAGATGATGAACATGGGACAGGGACAAATGCAACAACAAGGTGTAATGGGTCCTAATCCAGGGATGGCCGGACTGCAAGCCCAGATTGGACAACAAGGTCCAATTGTATCACAAGGTGGTCCACAGTCTCAAGCGGCAACTAATCTGCTTCAAACATTGACTCAAAGACCACAATTGAACATGCAGCAGATGCAGAACAAGTTGAACATGGGTATGGTACCAAACCAGAATCAGATGGGCAACAACATGGTGTCAATGGGTGGTATGGGCAATCCAATGGGCAGTCAGTTGCAGAACCAGCTGGCGGGGCCCGGTATGCAGGGCCAGATGATGCCCAACATGTCCATGTCCAACAACATGCAGGTGCCCATGTCAGGCGCCAGCACCATGGTGGGTCAGATGCAGTGCAACCAAGTTGTTGGAGGCATGGGCGGACAGATGGCGCCAAATGCGATGCAAGGACAGATGTCGAGACAAATGGGTATGTTTTATACCATTTTTATTGACATTAAAGGGTGCATCAGTGTTTGATAAAAATAAGTTTAGAACATTTTTAATTGTCCTCTCATATTAGGGTTTTCATATATGTATTTTGTTTGTTTCCTCTTTTCCAGTGGGCGGTATGACCAACAACCAAATGGTGAACATGAACATGCTGCACATGCAGGGGCGTGTGGGCGCCAAAGGGGAGGTGGTGGGCGGCATGATGGGCGCCGCATACGCTCCGGCCAATGCGCCGCCACACAACCAGTTCCTGCGCCAGAGCCCCTCGCCTTCCGCCTCCTCGCCCAACATGGGCGGACCTAGTCCAGTCCCAATGGGTATGTGACCAATTCATTATATTGAAGATAGCCTTACGCTATCGAAAAATACTGTCTCTGGCTTTTTCAAAGAGTGATGCAATTATATTATTGTGAAAGCATTGTAAATCCACAGTTAATAAGGTATTATTTTGTGTTATTCAGGTACTAGCGTGCTGGGCGGGGCTCTGGCGTCGCCGATGTCCTCACTGGGTGCGATGGGCGCGTGCAACGGTGTCGGAAGCCCGTCGCCCTCTGCGCCCGCGCATCTGCCGCACCATCCCACACAACAGCAGCGGTTAGTTTGTTATACATATCTTGGATTTTAAGACCAAAATTTCCGTTTAAAAGCCTATCAAAGATAATAACAAGAATATGTTTATACAGAAATTTTGGTCTCGGAAACCTACATTAATATTCACGTCAAAATCTCTTAAAATAATACAGTATGACAGTATAATTTTTTTATAATGCACTGACCTCTGAATATTTGAATACCTATGTATTAACAACTATAGCTGTCAGTGAAATTATACCACGATTTAAATAAGCGCCATCTATAGAAAATATACTTAAACTAACCTTTAAATCTTACAGCTACTTACCAATAGATGGCGCAAGTTATTTTATTATTTTTATAAAAGGCGATATAGAGATTCTTCATGATTTGGTTAGGTCTGGCGTATGTGTATGTCTCGTTACTCTGGTTTCCCTTCAAAACGTACAAATCTTTCGCCTTTTACTAAAGATTTCCGTGGAGGGGAACACTCAAATGAGTCTTTAATATTTTTGCATAACTCTGCTTCGGCGGAGTTCAAAATTCTGAAACAAATATTCCTACTGGGAAGAATTGCATGATGTGGTGGTTGAACATAATAAATTTAACCGTAATTGTACATAATATTTCATAAGATTATAGGACATTGTTCTTATTTAGTATTTACTAATACATTTCGTTTCTGTTATCTTATTTCTTATCTTACTAATATCATAAAATCGAATGTTTAGATGGATGTATGTTTGATGGTATCTCCAGCACGGCTGAACGGAATTCGGCAAACATATAGAACATAGTCTGAAAAACACATAGGCTATTAATTACGTTTTTTAGTTTCCCACGGGCGGCCACTAGTTATAATATATGTCGTTAGAAGATAGAAAGGTGTAAGAAAAATCGTAATGTAGCGCGCTTCGCTGCGGTTACGTAAACGTGGGATAGTCATATAGCTAAGCGTGGGCATTGGACAGTGTTGTAATGTAAGATGTTGCAGCGGCGTGGGCGTGGGCGTGGGCATGGGCATGGCGGCGTCGCCTTCACCGTCGTCGTCACTGAACACACCGGCGGGCGTGGGCGGCGGCGGCGTGGCGTCTCCGGGCGGGGAGGAGGCGGTGTACCGGGAGAAGGTGCGCCAGCTCTCCAAGTACATCGAGCCGCTGCGTCGCATGGTGCAGCGCATGGTCAACGAGGGCGAGAGTCAGTACTCTTGTTTACTATTCTACCTATATTATGACACATTAATACGACAACATTTTTCAAATTAAATATTATATAATATAGCAAAACTGCCTGCACCCAGGCTTTGACCTAATTAGGTCTAGCCAGATTAGACTCTCTAGGCTAACACGACGTAGTGCTAAGTAAAAATAAATATATTTCAGATGTGGAGAAACTGACAAAAATGAAGAACCTACTGGACATCCTGTCAAACCCAAACAAGCGGATGCCGTTGGAGACGTTGATAAAGTGTGAAGTTGTGCTGGAGAAGTTGGACTTCAAGCGCAGTGAGACTGTGTGCGTCATCCTGCCGCCCGCCGGCACTGGCAAGGTGACAATGCATTGTTTCTTACGACACAAACTCCGTTCTATAAAAAAATTAGTCATGTAGTGAGTCATCTTTTTCATACAGATCCATTTAAAGGCTGTGTCCTATTGGTAATTGTTTCTGCAACGTCGTCCCAAACGTTTTAATTTAGCCGAACTTAAATTGTATTATAGTCGAATTTCAAGCAATGGGTCACTTCGAAGATACATATCTTAAATTCTTTAAAAGCTAAGTTTATGTCAACCCTTTTGTATGTAAGAAATTGTAATGAAAAGGAGTAAATAAGAGGTTTCAGCTGGTCCATCATCTTCTTATATTTTTTCATCTAATAATAATAATGTATAAATGTTCCAGCACGAGCAAATCTTCAACCCTCTGCTGGAGGTGATCAACAACTGTCTCCTGTCCCCGGTCTCCAACCACACGCTGAAGCGCACCTTCGGACACACTCTGGACGCACTCAATGGACCTGAGATAAAGTACGATTTTAATGTCTATTCTTTTTTAATTCTAAAATCGTAAAAATCAATATTGAAAAAAGAATACGATTTAAACATATTAAGTAGCTGCCAATCTTCATGTCAGCTTTATATTTTTTGTTTAATGTGATTTTTATTGTTTATTATTTTTTAGGAATCTACCTCCACCACATAAAATGCCTAAAGTAGAGGAGCCGACGATGGAAATACCAGACGTTCTACAAGGAGAAATAGCGAGACTAGATTCCAGATTTAAGGTACGTTATTTGATGTTGTAATAACTAAAACAATTTTTAAAATGTCAAGATTATCGTCAAAATAAATTTACTTTTACCATAGATGAGTAAATGAACGTCTGGAAGAATAAAATAACGCAAATATAATTTTATCTAATATATTGTTCTATATTTGCCAAAATCAGGGACTATTTTCTTTACTAAAAAAAAAAATATGAGGAATTTAATATAATTTTTATTGATCGCAGGTGTCTCTGGAGACGATGCAGCTGTCAGGCGGCAGCGGCGCGATCGCGCTCGTCGCCCAGCTGGACGACGTGCGTCTGCCGTGCGTGCCCGCAGTGCACGTGGCCGTGCCCCGCGACTACCCCGCGCACGCGCCCTCGCGCCTACGTCCGCGCGCGCCCAGACCCGACGCCCACCGCGCCTTCCTCGCCCAGGTCGACCGCAACATGGACGCACGCTGCGCGAGGTACGTACACATGCGCGTAAACACACGCACATATATTTGAAGGCACGTGTCGCAATTAATTTCGTTTTCAGATTACCGAAGAGCTGTTCGGTGGGGCAGCTGCTGGATGCTTGGGAAATGAGTGTGCGGCAAGCCTGCGCGCCCAGCCCCGTCGCCTACACGCCAGTGCCCGCGCTCGGTCTGTGAGCTTTCTGCGCCCAACCATGTCGCCTACACGACCATGCCTACCCTCGGATTGTGAGCATTCTACGCCCAGTCCCGTCGCCTACGCGCTATGCCTGAGCATTTTCTACTCTAAGAGCCCCGCAATAAGGTTCACTGTCGGTTACGCTCTACATGAACGTATCTACGACACATCTCGTACTAAAATAGACCATGTCTCTAAGCAGAAAGGTTGATATTAGATTGTTACGAAATCTGAAATACTGCAATACATAATGATGTAAATATTTTTAATTTTAAGATTTATATTTCACTGCTGAACTGTCCCTTAGTGATCAATTAACGACTGAGTGAAACAGACTTGAGTATGTTTTAATTAATTAAAGATTTTGTTTATTGTCAACATAAAGCAACAAATTATTAATTGATAAAATAATTTAAATAGAAATAGGACAAGAATGGTGTTAAGTTGATCCGGTAACGGGAGATAAAAACAGAAATGTTTTACCACGACTTCAGCATTTGCTGAACGTGCTCTTATTTGTTGATTTCAACATTTGTTACTGGTTCTAGGAAACTTAAAATCAATGGCTGAATGAATGTCAAAGTTACACTAAAAGGCCTTTAAAAAATCCTAATGTTTTATTTTTTACATTGCTTTTGCTATGACTTTTAGTCAAGTATATAAGAGGCAATTTTTACCTCTGATTTATTTGTACCATTTGATTTATTTGTTTCTCTCGTGACAGTATTGCCAAGTGAACCTAGATTATTTCCTCATCGTGGAAGCTGGACATTTAGGTTGTGTTTGTAATCCAGTCATTTGGCCAATCGTAATTACAAAATGTTTGACTTTTTCAAAACGTTACATTGTCATTCTTTTACATTTTCACAAATTGTGAATAAGAAATTATAAGGACGATTGTATTGCGGGCAAATAGTAAAAATAACTATATACAGTAATGGATTTTATTTCTAGTGTAATCTCCTTTGTGTTGTTCTGGATTGTTTTTGTAACTGCACGAAAAAAATTACCAACATTTTTCAATATTTTTTTTATGGATAAAACATTTATTTACAGCCGTGATATAAATCTGTGATAAGTTTGAAATATTACATCATTATTACAAATGATTAAGTTTCCCCGCTTTTTGTTTAATTATATTTTAGTTGCAACAATTATAGGATTATTTTAATGCATCTACTTTATATATTAAGTGTCGATGGAAAGTTATTAGTTGTGCAATGAATGAAATGAACTATAGTATAGTTTGATGAATAAAAATAAAATATTTGATGATATCTTGTTTGTGTCAATGACAGAAAAGTAAAAAAAAAATGAACGAAAAAGGTTGAACTATAAAGCTCGGTGCACGCTGGCCGCACCGAGCCGGTGTTGCCGCAATGATTATGAAAAAGTTTTATAAATTGAAAAACATAATTAATAAGGTTTTACTTATGTTGTAGCAAAATGTAATTCTTAAATAAGACTACTAGTGTTGTATTGTAATAGTTTTTCTCCATACATATGTTCATTAGTGACGTCACAAATTTCATTATTGAGTTCCCATTTAATGTATGAACGATTTTCTTCCGAACAATCAGCAATTTCCATCTTTTGTAATATACGTATCTGCGATTGTAAATATTGATTAAGGCAGATATTCAAATGTTGTGTGAATACAAAATAAATATTTATTTTATTATATTACATTTTAAATTGTATGATAGGGATCAACTTTTTAAAATATTTGTATGAAGTTGGTTTTTATATGTATTTAATAAATTCATCTCTACATTAATGAGGAAATAAATGTTGTAAATTAAATAAATTTTAGTTGAATAATTGTTTTTTTTAATAACACCATACAGAAAATGAAAATAGTTCCGAGTCTGAGCACAATTTCAAAAGTTTGACAAGCAATAATTGTTATCGGTGAATTTCATAATATTTTTTTTTAAATAAAACACTGGAGTTCATATTAATTTTTATTTCAACAATAATCGGTGGGCGACATTAATTTGAACTTATATTTAAGCAGTGATTATAACTTTTTAAAGGAATTTACAATAAATATTATTTATATTTAAACAAAATAACAACACAAATCTTTCCTCGCATTTTAGAAGTAACCAATACCATCTCCTTTGTTACAAAAATATTTGATATTCCTTCCTCTATTTTTATGAATATTATTTTTTATATTATTACATTGAGTCTAGGAAGAGATGTATGCATGTGAATGGAGGAGAACTTCACAGAGAGAACTGGTAGAGGCGATGTTTGTGCGGGTGCTTGGCGCAGGGCCCGTGCGCGAGCGTGCTGCCGCAGCACGACCAGTGCCGCGCGCCCGGCCACCCCGCGTGCCCGTGTCCGCATCCTGACACATATCAATATTAACTGTGGAATTCCACTGCTGAAACACTTGAAAAAAGACATTGTTCCTTCTCTCTTGTTTCAAGCTTAAACCCCCCAGAGTTTAAGCCGATCGTCCAGCAGCTTGTGCCATATTTACCTTTGTATCCGCCGGGCATGGTGGCGCCGCAGCCGCAGCGCACGTCGCGCCGCCCACCGCTCGAGCAGAAGGTGCAGCAGTGGAACTGACCAGCGTGCGACTTGAACACTCGCGCGCAGCACGCGAACGGACTGCCCTGGATACAGACAATACACATTCTAACTTCAAGAAGGACAAGATTCTGGCACTATCAGCAGCTACTTTACAGTAGTATCTGGTGCTCACTTTGATGGGCGTGTCATTGAGTGTGACAGCGAGGAGGTACGCGCCGGGTGCGCGCGGTGCGAGGCGCAGTGCGTACGAGCCGTCGTGCCGGTCTGCTGCGCGCGCACATGTCGGCCGCTCGCTGGAGTCCCGCCGCCGCAGGTAGCCCACCACCTGCACCATATACTGCATTCACTAGGAGGTTCATCGCCATGAATACAGAAAATATAATTAAGCATGGTAATAATAAGACGAGTGGATCCCTGTGTGACATGTGTTGCGTGCTATAAGCTGACAAAAGGAATTCATCAGACCTGTTCCCCTCCGCACCAAATCCTCTCCCCGTTGCTGTCGCGCAGCTCCACGATGGCCTCGTGCTCGCAGTCCACGTGCAGGTCTTGTAGACCTGATGACGAATATAATTATGATGAAATTCTTCATTCTATTTGTACAAATAAATCCAAAGCAAAATATCTTTCAACTCTTAGGTATAATATTTAATAAGCGTATAAATTATGGTACATTTAGAAACGAGATAATTGTGAATAAGAACGCTCGCCTTCAGTATGCAGTATACTGGTGTCAGGGTCCGGCGCCTGCGTCAGCAGCCGGCCGCACAGCACGGAGTCGGGGCCGAGCCGCGCGGCGGGGTCCAGGCGCAGCACGAGACGCGGCGGCGCCTCGGCCGGCAGCTCCGTCAGCCGCTGCAGCCGGCGCAGTGCGGGACCGCTCAGCGACAGCACCTCCTCCGCCCGCCCTCCCGACAGCAGCTGCACCGACATTATTTTTCGACTTTACTCCCGTTGGTAACCTCTGATCCGAGCAATAAAGGCAGCCGCACACTGGAGCCGTTGAATAAATCAGCTATTATATAGAACCGAAACATCGGAGATAACCAAATCCCCTGAATTCAGAAAGAGACCATTTAAAACTAGTTTTGGTTCCATAAGTAACCAAATTTCGAAAGTTAGTTACCTCTTCAGTGAAGCGTACGGCATGTTGTGCGTGTTGCGCGCGCTGCTGCAGGTCTTGATGTGCGCGCTCGACGCGCTGTCGCTGGCGGGCACGTGCACGAGCAGCGGCCGCGGCCAGCGCGCGACCGTGCGCCTCCGCCGCGCGCCGGTACTGCTCCGCCCACGCGCGCACCTCCGCCTCCACGCGGCTCGCCTCGCTCTGACCGCACACGTAGACAACAATTATATTTATATCCACTAGGAACACAAAGCTCGTGTACAATGTAAGATGACAGACTGACATCTGTGTCTAGCGCGTGTGCGCTGAGGGCACGTGCCGCGCGCTCGACGTGCTCGGGCACGAGCTTGGCGCGCTCGCAGGCGTCGCGCAGTGCACGCGCGCGCTCCGCCGCCGCCCGCGCTGCGCTCGCCAGCGCGTGCCCCGCGTGCGACACCACGCTGCAGTCGCCGCAGATCACCTGCACCCACACAATATACCGTATTTATCAACAATAGTAAGACATTGTGTGGGTAACGAATCATTATTATTGGAAATGGCAAGAAAATCCATAAAGTTGTTATTACCGAAACTTTGGAAAAATCTACTTCAGCAAACGGACAAACTGGCTACGGTTGTTTACCTGCTGGCAGGTGGCGCAGTAAATGGTGAGCTCGGAGTTTGTGTGACGGGCGCAGTAGGTGGGCTGCGGCATGAGGGGCTCAAGGTAGTGCCCGGAGGTGGCCTTAGTGCGGCCGTGTGCCTTGCCGCACGCCGCGCACACGCTCACCAGACACTGGCTGCATCGACTCTCCGCCTGATGATAAACAAATGTGCTGTGATAAACAAATGATCTTGAAACCTACTATTCCTCCATGAAGAATATAAACTCTTTCCTCGCAGAAATACATAAAGACGGGATCTCATTACTTACTCTATGGCATGGTCAGCTGTAAGAGAACTCTTTTAGAGTTAAGTTCACCTGTACTTAAGCGCATTTCTATTGTAATGATTGTATTGTAACAATGTAGTGTAAGCTTGAACAAATAAAGAAATCGTTAGGTAGATAACTTTTAATAACGAAAAAACCGTCAACTTCAAGGACACATTTCAACATTTTTAAACCTTTCATAAGATTAACGGTAGACTTGACCTTGACTGAACTCGTCAAAGAACCAACCAGTACAGCGATAACAGCCAATTTTCTAATTTTTACACTACAGAACCAGAACTACCAAAGCGACGGTTTATTGTCATCAATCAAAGCAAAAGAAATAAATGCACCGAGATTACTTACAATTGCGAAGCAAAATCTTAACATTGTGATCGAAAACAAAAACATAGTGGTCCAGCGCCATCTGTTGATACGCAGCGGAAACGGCACCATCGGTAAACATAAAGACAAAAACAGTCTCGGTACTTATTTTAAAATTATTACCAAAATACGTGATGCGACAGGACGCAAAGCATAGTTTATACAAACACAAAGGGCCAACATAAAAGGTAAATGTGGCGTTGTATTACTAATTGAATTCTTCTGCATTAGATCGTAGCCGTGGAATCGACACGCACGAATTGCACACCACATGTGTAACACAACTCTCACGCATGTCATGTCGACATTCTAATAAACTGTTTTTAATTTCAAAGCACAGATAAATGACAGCAATACTAATTAGTACTTCGTAATTAAAAGTCTGTTTGAGTTTTTACGATAAAAACAAAAGAATCACAATCGCATAAGATTGATGATTTACTTTATGTTGCCATTTTTCTTTCGTAATTTTTTTAAAATGTCAGTGACAAAATATGTCAAAATTTGTACGAAATTGTTGGTGTGCTTTACGGCCGGTAGGGGCGCTGTACAAAATTGAATACAAATTTTGTTATTTGTGCTATGTGTCTTACTACAACGCACCTTATTGTCAGCATCGCACATGTCACACAGCACCGTGACGTCATCCTCTCTGTCGGCGAGACTCATCTTGCGCAGTAGCACGTAGTTGAGCGGCAGGTCCGACACGCCGGCAGGAGGCAGCTGTGTCTCGTGCCCGCATGTCGGACACACCAACAACTGCACACTTCTACCTGACACCTGAACCGAAAATTAATAATATTACGTGTATTGTAGTTAAAATTCAGTCGTATATGAAATATCACACTATCATTTATCATTTCAATCTATCACAAAAAAGTAACGTTACATATCAAACATGCGGCCATTTCATTATTTAATTTTATTTATTAATATTCATCAATCAATTATATTGTAACGTACATTGTAATGTGAGAAAAAGTATTTTTTTTTTCATTCATTAAAATTTTAAGTCTACTTATATTTAATGGTCACTTTTATCTTCTTTTACCTTTTTAATGAATATGCCGTATTTCTGCGGCTTGTCGTCAAGACTTCCCTCCGAGTTGGAGTTGCGAGCGTCGCTCTCGTAGCCCGAGCCCGCCGAGCCTGCGGAACCAGCGCCCGAACCTGACCCGCACTCCTCGGGTTCCAACTGTATGGAACCTATGACAATTAACATAAAAATAACGAACAACTATTGGTATGACAGCAAAAGGGAAAGGTTCAAGGAAAGCTAAGTCAGGGACGAAAATATCCTGGCTTACGAACTTATGCAAAATACGAGCGCTCGTTCACTTTTCAAAGCCGCGATATAAAAGGTCCAATTTGATCCAATGATTAACGACCTTCAAAGATTGTACTTTAAGAAGTGTTTGGAATGAAAAAGGTGTTTATCAACATACTGATACGCGTACAGGATTATTCCAATTGCTATTCGTATCTTCGTGCTTTTAAAAATCTAGGAACATAGTGAATGATGGTGAGGACACAATGATTCATGTTGCCGAGGTCGTTGTGTTTACAAATCAGATGTAATGAGTAAGCGACACTCGAGGCTTCCACCGTCGGAAATAACTGAATCTCTCTGCCAATTGCTATTGCGGCATCGCTAAAAAATTACATAAATAGACACTCTTTAAGTCATTGACAAGGATAGCACAGTTTAGGAACTGATTAAATAACGAATGACTCATCTGTGGGTTTCTGAGACCAAAAGCCCCGTTTAAAACATGATGTTACCTCTGTTTTGTTAAAGATACTCTGGGTTTGACGATATTTTAATACAGAGATTTTAGACTCAGAAACCTACGCTTTCAAGAGTAATTTCTTTTCTCTACCAACTATCAATAAATTTGTCAATCGGCAAAATGTTGGTTTGTTTAAATACAATTGGATCAAATGTCTTTTTTAAGTTTTTTTTGGGATAATTGTGATTAAATTGTTTTCTCCTTTTGTCGAAAAGCTTTATAAATGGGACATTGTACAAGTATATTATGTAACTAAACAATTTAATAAAGATATATTCTAGTTTCGAGTATCAGTTTAATAAACTACGAGAGATCTTGACGAGCGATTAAAATAGCCGTGTTATTAATAAATCTTTGGTTTTATAACCTGAACAGTTTCTGGTTTACATCTGTCGTGTTATTGTTTTAGTTCGAGACTCAACAGATACAGTTTCACTACACACATTGTTATTTTTTACTGTTTTATCGTGGGTTTTCGAGACGAAAATCTCTATATAAAACATCCCTGTCATTATCTATGATAAAACAAAGGTAACAGTATGTTTTACATGGAGATTTTGGTTTTAGAAAGCCACGGTTAAGCATGTAAATAATCTATGCCCCATTTCCGTAATCAAAAAGATTTATATTACGCAAAGTTATTTTATATTTAATTATAAATAAATGTATATATTTATTAACAACATTCAGAACGTAATTTTTTTTATAATTCCAGGTATCCCGACCTGGATTTGAGCAGAGTTTACTTGTACGTTTTGAAATGGGAACGTAAACGAATTTTGAGTAAACGTTTGAAATCTTTGAATGAACTCTTTCCTGTTTTTTTTAATCGCCATCGATGGACGTGCTGTTTATATGTATTAGAATGTTTATTATGGATCAAATTCTATTTAGTACATTCTAATAATATTTTTAAATATGTTGAAATCCTGATTTGTAATTATTTACATGATGCTTGTTTCTTTTTAAAGTTAAATATGGCAGATCAATAAGAGTCTTATTGTATTGGTACATTTAGTGTTGCCACTCGTCCGGATAAAGCCGGACATAGGTAGGCTTTTTGATTGCACGTCCGGCCAAAATAAACGGTGTCCGGGTTGTCCAGCTTTAGTTAGGCTTTTTACACATCGCAAACGAGAGTGTTTGAGCGCAGTAATAAAGATGTCTGGCCTTTCTACCCAAATGTCCGGGCAAACTGTCTAGTCCGTCCGGCTATTAGGTTTGTCGACCTGACAACCCTAGGTACATTAATAATTAAGTTCTAAGCATAAAAAACTATAATTTTACGTTTTGTACGATCCTCTGCAGTGAAATTCAACGTTAAATTTCTTTTGTTACTAGCAATCAGTTCATCCACGTTTAACGCGTAATACAGCGCGGTGCTAGGTCGTTGTATGTAGGGCTTCAGTCAGCCTCTGCTGTCTCCACATGTTACCTTGTTCGCGGTAAGCTAATTGGATCTTTCACTTAGTAGTTACCGTGAAACAATTCTGTTTGTAATGATTAGTTCATTAGAAAACTTATTTTAATTATCTTTTAGATATCATAAGATCTTGTTCTTTATATTATGGTCTTTTCACAAATATTAACAGAATAAACACACAATATTAAAATGAGAACTAATAATCGCGGGTTTCTAAGACCGAAATCTCCGTTTAAAACTCCAAAGTGATGACGATAAGTTTTATAGAGAGATTTCACAAACTCACGGTAATTGAAACATTGTTCTAAAACAAAATATAAAAAAACATGTAAGCCGTCAATAAATCAGTAGAGCTGAGTTAATTCAGCATGATATTGACGTACGCCGAAACATAGCTAATGTGTTTCTATATATAGATGTGCCACCGGGGATGCCGGCTATTGATACAGACTAACCCTCAGTTTCCATTGACGGAAGACATGTAGGAAAGCTTATTGTTATCTCTGTTTTATCAAAGTGAAATAAAAGAGATGGCAATATGTAAGGGATGATAATACAATAGTTTGAAATGTTCATAAATATTTGTGTAAAGTTGCAAAACATTTATAATAAAATATTCTATTTCTTTTGTATTATTTCACTATTTTCATAAAACACGTATGCTGCATTTTATAGAAGCCACAAAGTAACAGAAATCTTATCTTACTAATATTATAAATGCGAAAGTTTGGATTGTTTTTGATGAAGGTATCTCCAGAATGGCTTAACGTGTCTATGAAGAACCATAGGCTAATAATTTTTTTAATTCTTCGCATACGGAGTCGCTGGCGAGAGCTAGTAATAAATAAATGAGTAACAGGACTTTTAAGTCTTCTACAAATCATTTGAAATGCATTCATGTATTCATTTGTTACATATCTAACTAGTTTCGCTAATATTAATGGTCCACTTTACTAATTTACGACACTGCAACAAAACTATTTGACTTCCTTTAATATCGGAGTGACACCAACATCCTTTACAAACCTTACTCGTTTCCTTACAAACGCGAGTCTGTGTGCACTTCTTTATTTTCTTAAATGTTTTACGACGCATCTACCCATTAACGGTTCATAACACATTTTATATCTCAAACAGATGCTTTGGAAACAGACAAAGCAAAGCAGTTTGTTTTTTTTATTGACATCGATTGGCCCCAATTTTAAGTGAACTCTCAAATGAAATGCTCTATCTTTGTTTCATGTTTGTGACCATTGCGATTTTATTTATTTTTATTTAACGACATGATTACGTAATATGTTTTATTTACGAGTTTATCTGGTTCCGCCACTTTATTGCGTTTAACAAAGCCAATGTAATTTAGCGTTAATTTGAGGTTATCTGGATCGTTATAACAAAAGAATTAACCGCTAAGGAAATGTAACCCAAAAAAAGTCCAATGCGCAAAAATTAGGACTAATAGAAGCTTACTTGCGTGAAAAATTATTTTTTACAAAATTTTGCAATATTGATATATGAAATAGCTCGCAGAAGTTGTAAAAAACTCACCTAACTTTACTTACTTCAAATTGTTAGAAGATAGTAAGTTACACGTACCATCGTCAACTTCATTCCACACATCTTCCTCCTCTTCGCGCCGTAGACCCTGGAGACATCTGGTACAGAAGCTGTGAAGGCATCCCAGCAGCCTGGGTTCCACCAGCTCCCTTTTGCACAGACCACACTCCCAATCTTTAACCCTGCTCTTCCGACCTTCACTATACGAAGACCGCAGCCCGACGCACAAGCTTTGACTGGCCGGTCTTGAACACTTCTGGTGCAAAGGACTGTTACCAGCACTGATCGAAGACGGTTCCAATGATTTCCTTCGATCTTGCTTTTTACGCGTGAAGCTTCCAAAAATATACATAATTCTGTCTACTTCCATTTGTTTTACGATTCACGAAAAAAAATTACTGTCACGCCATTTAAGAAATAAACTTGAAAAAAAAGAAATTAATTGATTTTAAAAAATAATAAGCTATTTACAGACTATAAATATGAAAAAAATATTGTAATTTTTAGTATCTTTATAACCAAAGCTTGGCATTACGCGTTACTTTTGCTTCCCGCGTTCATTTAAAAATAAACGTCCTACCGAGATGGTGCGCTGAGGTCGACTATCTCGAGTTGGACTTGTACGTGGATCTTGGACGCACAAAACTATAATCACGCGCCACGCGTAGGGCGCATCCCTACAAATCATTGCTAATGAATTGTAACTGATTGATTTTTGTTCTTATTGCATTTTGTTTAGAATTATTTAAAGCGAATTACAAACGTTGTCGCTACATTTTGCAATTTACTCTTTATTTACGAACTTTGTGATACATTGAAACACAATTTTGTTAGAAGAAACGTTAGAACCTCTACAAAATGTTAGAATTTTTTTTTTCAAAGGTTTCGAAATCGTGACCCGATATTTTACTCTTTTTATAACACTAAAACTCAAATTTTCGCTAAACGATAAAAATATAAATTACGCTATTGTAATTGATTCCAAAGTAGGTCAATATTTAATACGACTTTTTGTTCTGTTGTAAACTGTTTCCTGTATAATCGAAAAATTCTATTTAACGACAATTGTAAGATATTTTTAGTATCTGTTGAAATAAGTTTGTGTCAGAGGTAATATCCTAAAATAAGGGTGAGTTGTGTGCGTATAATTAAGGGAGATCTATATTTGTGGTAACCCATGTCATTTTTTGTATCCTTGATTGATTGGGAAAGTTGTTCATATTGTACAATAACATTAAACATTATAAAAGTGAAATACGACTGTAAGCCAGCTCGTTTAAATAAATAACCTATTCCCATTTTACCTGACAAACAGATTAAAAAGTTTCGCGTTAACCTTTATTTAAATTAAATAATAAATATATCACTGTTTTTATGCATCGTTTTCTCATATCTATATTAATTGAAAAAGTGAATGTACAAAACGCATCTATATGTAATTAGACTAACGACTATTTTTGTCATAGTAATTATGCAAAGTTTAAGAAATGTCTACTAAAGCATATCAAATTGAAACTTTGAGAAGCCAATGAAAGTCAATATGCACACTTGATAGCACGCATCAGTAGAAAATTATTCAAACTATTTATTTAGATTACCGATATCTAAAGAATGGATTAGTAGTTTTTGAAATCTGCTTAAAAAAAAACGCGTGTGTTTGTTGTTTTTATTATTCACTCGAAAGAGCAGGCAAAGGAACTAAGCCATACAGCCTAAACGCGTGTGTCCGTTGACAAAATGTGACACGGCTAGTGGTTTCTCTTCTCAAATTCTCAACAATTTTATACGACAATCGATTTGGAGAATTGATTCAATTCTCAAATATTTTCGACTTTAAACGTTGCATTAATTATATCGTGTTACAAAAAATACATAATGTTGAATATTCCAATAATGGTTCTATTTAGCCAGTGAACTAATGCTTTGAGAACACACTCCATTATACATTTAATGTGTTCACGTGGGACACTAATTAAATCTGTATTTTGGCTCACGTTTATTTCTTTCAGGTAAAAATGTTGACTTAGATAATATGTACCAGTAGTTGATTTATAGAATCGATGTTGAAAATCAAGGCACATCACTTTAAGGGTAATGTCAAACTCAAACTGCTGCTGTCTTTCTGTCACTGTCAGACAGCAGTCAGCAGCGTTTGTGTTTCGTGACATTGATGAACACTTGAGGATTTTTTCATTCGTAAACCACTTTTCTAGTGTGGGTGCGGAATGTGTATTTATATTTATAATGAACCCGAATAAAATTATGTCACTGCTGGTTTTAACATAGAAAACAGTGAGCGTTGCATTTATATCGCTATGTTGAACTTGCACAAAATTTGGTTATTATCATGTCTCTGTGTTATTGTTATGATTATTTTATATTTTCAAACAGAAATTACTCGTTTGGAGCAAAACTATCGCAAGCTGGGTACGTAATGTCTCATTTGTAACAAATTAAAGACTTAACTGAGTATAAGACGAGTGTTTTCTTTCAGAATATAAATTGACACAAAGTCAATCAAATTCTCGTCAGTTTTTCCCGAAAACCTTAGAAAAAGATAATGATGACTTGGTAGTCATATACAACCGCGTACCTAAGACAGGCTCCACTAGTTTTGTTGGTGTGGCCTATGATTTGTGCAAGAAGAACCATTTCAAAGTGCTACACATTAACATCACAGCAAATATGCATGTTATGTCTTTGAGCAATCAGTATAAGTTTGCTCAGAATGTGACAAAATGGCAGGAAGTGAAACCAGCACTTTATCATGGTCATATGGCATTTTTAAACTTTGAAAGGTATGCATGTTACATCTTTATTTAATATTTGGCAATAGATTTTTCAAAGGCATTCTTACAAGCTATTCAGTATGTGATATATACTTTACACAAGTTGTACAAGATACCAGTTGATATATAATAAGTTTATGTAAAGTTCTTGATAACTATACAATTTAAAACATCCGTTTTCAGATTAGGCACATCTACAAAACCAGTATTTATTAATTTAATAAGAAAGCCATTAGACAGGCTGGTGTCTTACTATTATTTCCTAAGAAATGGAGACAATTTTAGACCCCACTTGGTACGGAAGAAACACGGAGACAAAATGGTGAGTTGTTTATAAACATAAAAACTGAAAGAGCATTTATAGTGGAAGGAGACAAGTAATAAAGTGATACAAGAGGTAAATTGTCCCATATGAATCCATAACAAAGGTACATCTCTATGTAATGGGATAATATATAAAGAAATTAAGTGCAGAAAGCAATAAACAAGAAATGTCCCGTGGAGAGCAATTTGCTTTTTACAAGAAACTCACACATATTCCCTTGATATCTCTATTTCCTCCATATATATAAAGTTCTTTTAGAAATCTTTAAAATATAAAAAGTTTGACATGTTCCGGTCCACAGACTTTTGATGAATGCGTAGAAAAAAATCAAGCAGACTGTGATCCTAACACCATGTGGCTGCAAGTTCCCTTCTTCTGTGGTCACTCAGCGCAGTGTTGGTAAGTCGATATAAATCTAACTTCTTATCTTACTAATATTATAAACACGAATGTTTAGCTGGATGGATGTTTGTATGAAGGTATCTCCAGAATGGCTGCATATGTCTTGCTAAAATTTGGCACAGATGTAGAACATAGTCTGGAAGTACAAATAGGTTACTGTTAGGTTTTTGTTTTAGTTCTAAGCGGACGAAGTCGGGGGCAACAATTAGTGAAAATATAAGTTATTAAGCAATACTTTAATAATAATACAAATGAAGCATTGTACAGTTGAATGGAATGAGTGAAAGTCCATGGGTCCGCAATATTTTTCTGGCATATAGAGGTTTTTTCTTACCATCCATTTCTTGTTTACCTAGGTTTCATTATATAGTTTTATTATTATTGAATATAAGAAGTTACATAATAAAGGCTAATTTTTGTTATTCGATAGAACTTAACAATTTTATAATACTGTTATTTGATTTTTTACTATTTTAAATTATAGCTAGTTACTTGTTTCTGTATTATGATAACAAAGTATCCAAGCACAAGTTCCAAGCAAGTCATAACAGTATTGTGTTGGTATATTAGATTACTTTACAATTTCCTGGTTTTTGTCTCACACATGACAAATAGTATGTGTTGGCCACAATCTGTATAAGCACATTGGAAATGTCTAATAGAAATCGTTTGCGGACGCCCGCAACTTCGTCAGTGCAGAATTTGTACAAAAGTAGCCTTCAATATGCCTGCATGTATCAACTATCTTCCCGTCAAAGTCGGTCTTGTGTACAGACAGACAGACAGAAATAAAATAGTTTTTCATTATTAACAACGCAAGTGGGAACGGATTTCCGATAAGGTAGTCGAGAATTCGAATTCTGCCATTCGACTATTGTCGTAAATCATATCCTAGCGCAATTCTTTGGTTTAGTTGGAATGGTACAAGAAATAAAAACAATTTAATAAAAATCTGCTAATATCTTTAATTAAAAAAAATTGTCATCTATTTTTAATGCTTTCAGGAAACCTGGCAGCCAGTGGGCGTTGGAACAAGCAAAACACAATCTAGTCAATCACTATCTTCTCGTAGGTGTGACAGAAGAAATGCTAGATTTTATATCAGTTCTCGAAGCCGTTTTGCCTCGAATATTCAAAGGCGCCACCGAACATTATTTAAATAGTAACAAATCACATCTAAGACAGACGAGTTCCAAAATAGATCCGGCTCAAAGGACCATAGATAAAATTCAAAAATCGACCGTATGGAAAATGGAAAACGAATTATACGAGTTTGCGTTAGAACATTTTAAATTCTTCCAAAGAAAAGTTTTAATGAAAGAAAGTCTAGGTGTTCCGCAAACTTACTTTTATGAAAAGATACGACCAAAATGAAAATGGTGTTCATTATTAAGAAATAAAATGATTCATTCCAGATGTTATGATGTAAATATTAATGTTATTTATTACTAGATTTTAAGGGAAAGTAAAAAAAAATAACACACAAAAAACGTGAAGTGTTTTATACTCTGTTACGTTTAAAGTCATGCTGAGGCCTAATTGATTTTTATTATACGTCGTATTTGCATATTTAGTTAAATTTACTAACAAAAGAAAAAAAACTAATTGAATTAGAAGTACTTTAAATTAATCGTATTACAAATGATATAGACCATAAGTGTACTAAAAAGTTTTTAAACGTTTTTTTATAACCTAAAATAAATATTGAACTAATCTGTTATTAACTCAAAATCAGTTTTTACGATTGCCCCCGCTAAAGTGCATTACCTTAAGTAGAACAAAAAAAAATATCTCCCCCCCTCCTAGATCTAGCCTAGATCATTCGCTGGCAACATCTTTGATCTTGTATACGATTTTAACGACCAAAAACATTTGCTATGTAAGATGTTTGAAATTTAAGCGAATCTTATGATTTCTTTTAACCCTTAAATGGACGATTTTTTTTTACGTTTTAAAAAAATATATTTGTGTAATAGACATGTATTACTGTCTAGGAAAAATGAGTAAAAAAATCTAGACATGAATTTACTATTTTTTTTAGAAATAAGAACTAGTTGTCAAAATTAACAAAAAAATAAAATAAAGATAATTTTATCTGTGATGTTTAGTATGTTGTTTAAAAAAAACATTGTCCATTTAAGGGTTAAGGCTGAATAATTGATAATTGGTTAATTTTTAAACAAGATAATGTAAAAATTATTATTAATAATATTATATAATTTGGTCACTATAGTCCCTGATGAGAATTACTAATTAATAACAAGATGTTGGATAGATTATTTAGTTTTTTCATGTCTATTAACGGCCTAATATAACATTTTTAATATTATTTCGATAATATGCGACCAAATATATCAATTAAAATAACAAGAGAAAAATATAAATAATGCGTTCTTAAAAGTTAAAAAAATATTTTCTAATCAGGTTTTATATTAACCGATTTAATTTAATATTTGAATTATTGTTATGTATCTATACAAAATATATTTATTTTATAATTTTATGCTTAACCATTGGTTATTAATACAACGAAATATAAATTCTACAATTTTTATTTTACCGCCATTTTGTTGTTGACATATTTTTTTTTCTGTTATGGCAACAATTTTATACTCTGTGACAAGAAGCTTTAATTAATATCAGAATCGAATTTTATGTCTGTGTTTTTTATTGTTGTGTTATTTAAATATAATATTGCTAGGTTTTTAAATTTTCATGAATTGTTACGTTGATATGAAAAAAAAATTACATTCATTCTTTCTAGACAAGATTTTTTGTTTTTAATTTTAGTTTTCTAAGTTAAAATCTCAAAGTACTCAATACATACAACAGTATACAATCTTTGAAACCACCCACGTCAATTTAATTAACTCATGATATTTTTTAAAATAAGATACATTGATTTGTACAGTTTAATCCTCTGTGAGGATTGACGGTGGGTTTCCATTGACGCAACATTTGTAAAAAATATTGTGTTTGTTTTGTTATTTGGCAGCGAAAATTCACAAATGTTTATTTAGTATATTTAGTAGATAAGAAATTATGCGGACTAATTATAATTAAGTATTAGCAGTTTTATTATTAAAATGTTATCAACTAATATTGATTTTTCGTGTTAAATATTAAGTTTTTGTAAATACCAGTGTATGGCCATCGAGACTATATAATTGTATATATTGAAATATAGAGAAATATATTAATAAGAGACGACATGAAAATTTAAATGTTAACACGTTAGCTGCCATGTCGGACTATATGCCCGACAAGCTAATGTTTCAATCAGGCCGTGTCGGACTATGTGTCCGACAAGCAATACTTCCATTCAACACCTCGCTGTGGCTTTTTAATCGAATTTTTGTATGCGCAAGACCCCATTGAAATGGTTTTGGACAAAATAAAAAAAAATTCTTTTCAAAAAATCATTCTGGCAGCTAACGTGTTAAAGATTGATATTTCGTACTTAATAGTATAAAATTGGCATTTTGGTTAAAACGTTTGGTCTAGGAAATATAATTGCACGTACTTATTATTTACTGAACACACATCAGTATGTGCGGACGCACTAGTTTTTATTGCAAGAATTTGTTAATAAATCAATATTTTACAGTTAATGAGTTCATTTCATTTGATCCTTCGAGCCGGATATTTTGAAAATATGCATTCTTGTACCTTTACTGATACATATGGGGTTTATAAGACAAAAACATGGGAAATTAATGGTCGTAAGACACTTAATATAGGGTATTTTTACTTTTTTTTAAATCGAAGGTCCATTGGTTATGAATATTATTGATCAAATTACGTCCAATTGTTATGAAACATTTTTATGAGTCATATTTCTAAACGTATTGAACAAATAAATAAAATAGTATGTCATAATTCGTATAGATTTGTCACAATTACACGAACAGTGAGTCATTATTTCTGGGAACTGGAAACTCCTTCAAACATATCAATTATTGGTACGTCAAATTAACTGAATAATAAATTCGCTGTCCTCAGAACGACTGGTGGAAAAAATGGAATATTGAGAAGTTTAACGTCACGAGTTAACTGTGGTGTACCCAGTAAACACAATTAGTCAAATGTGTCTTGCATGACCCTTGCATTTGATACAATAATTGCCCACGCGGTGGATTCATTCAGGGGGTTGTCGCTTTAAATATTCAATCGGTTTTCCATCTCTCTCATGTGTCGTTTATCACATACGTCAGAGTGGGTCAACCATATTTTTATAAGTTGTATTTAAAAAAGAAAGCTCCAACATTCAGTCGTATGCCGGAGTCAGCAGGGAGCGGACGTCCCGCGATGCTGGCTCGATCACAACCGCTAGCAGAAATGCTTTCGCGGCGTCACTACTTTCGAATAATTAGACAAATCATCACCAGTCTCAGATCATCTAAGATGAGTTAATTTATATCGATTTAGTTGAGTTTTATGTATTATTTATACTTTGTTTCGGAGCTTTGCCGAAGGTCGCGTCCTTTAATCGATGAACAATTATAAGTGACAGCGTGTGAATACCCGCGTGTACAGACACTTTTTGATACATATATATTTATATAAATAAGTGCCAACGCATTACCTACATTAGTATACAGGGACTATATATTTATCTAACTGAGAGTACGGTACATAAATTGCATCTTCATGGAATATGGGCATCTGTTTAGACACTGGTGAGTAAACAAACATAATACACGCAAACCCGCAACCAAACAGAACCGTCGAAACACATCCTAAAAGTTCTTATCACCTTACATTTCTTTTATAAAGGAACTAGCTGTCCAGACCTACTCAATATGATCACAAAATTTCATGGAAATCGGTCAAGCCGTTTCGGAGGAGTATGGGAACGAAAATTGTGACACGAGAATTTTATATATAAGATAATTTTACTAAGAATATTTACATCAAAACTTCCCCTAGTATTCATGCTCATTCATACCTCCCGGTTAGATGAAATAAGCACAGGATAATTATAATCCCAGGAGAAGAAACGGTTTATGGAAACCCATCGCTCACTAGCCGTGTGTACCCTCGAAATACTTGAACTCTTAAGAAAGCACACAAGATTCTGTGTTTGTATATAGTAGAAAAATTACAATTAAGTATTCGACTTTTGAATTGTTGTCAAAGTAACAAAATAATACTAACAAATACATCATAATTAGTTACAGCACAATTTAATATCATAAAGCGCTTCCACCGATTATTTATTAAACGATTTTACCCCAATCAGTTGTTATGGAACACATTAAAAACAACTACGAACTCTACAATGTATTTATTGCTGCAGTAGTGTAAGCACTCAAGTAATCAACTGGTCCTAGGTTCGATTTCCTTCATGTACCAATGTGTTTAAGAATTCCATATGCACATTTACACATCGGTGATATAAATTAAATTTAAATAATATATTTATTTATCTTGCAAATATCCTTTTTTACACACACATACATATTTGAAGTTAACCAACTATATAACGGTAGATTAAATTAGCCATAGAGTCTATGGGGATATTTATGTGCTAAGTATAATACATAAAGTCCTTATCATAATAAAATTTCTTGGCTGTCCACTGTCAAAAACCATAATAAACAATGATATTTAGAACAAAACAATGAGGAGCAGGACAGAGAGACAGAGAGCTACGGGGGGTCGCGTAGGGGGCGCGAGAGCGCGTGGGGCCGCGCCACGCCGCCCGCCGCCGCCTTCCCCATGCAGAACTCCAGCCATGTCAAATTCGAGCCCCCCACCGTGCCCGTCATATTCGTACTTGGTAAGGTATACTTCTTTCTGGCCATTAGGGACTCTTAGTTTTTACAATAATTAATTTAATGAAAAAGATTCAAGAATAACAGTAAAAGTCATCGACTTATCCGGCGCTTTATCTAAGATGTTGAGTATGAGAGTATTGTTGCAAGTGATAAACTAAATACTAGAAAATTGTCTTTGGTAACAACCTGCCATGCTTGATGTATTGATGCGAAGATGGTAAGATTGCTGACAGTCCTTGCGTCAACGTGGTAATTCCCAAGTCCGATTCAACGGGCTAATCTATGGTCTATCGTTTCCTTTGGAGCTTTAGCAGCCGTATATCGTAGTATAAGTTGACAGTGTATAAGTGGTGTGATGACCAGGAGGGCCTGGCAGTGGCAAGGTGACGCACTGCGACACTCTGGCGCAGGAGAGGCGCGGCCTCGTGCACGTCAACATGACCGACCTGCTGCAGCAGTACGCCATCGGGAACGGTGAGCATACACTAATTATATGTCCCTGAGTATTGGTCTTTACCAAGGAAGAAACTAAAGGAAAAGTAAAGTAGTAAGGAAGTACCACGGCCTTATTAAAGAAAGAGACGCAGCTAGGATTCTGACAATTATTTAAGCAATTATTATTTCTTTCTCTCTCTATTAAGGCTTACGAGTCATCTCTGAAACTTTTATAGAGAAAAGACTGACTTTTATTCAAGTGTTTTGCGAGAAATATTCTGTTCTTCGGGTCTGCTTTTTGGCTTAGTTCAATGATATGATAATAAGTTATGTAAAACTAATAAAACAAAAAGTTAGTATATTTTATTTTCCATCAGGATGTAATAAGTGCTTGTGCATGATAACATAAATGTATAATCGTAGCACCACTGGTCATTGCCAATGGCGAGGTACAATGTCGTCAAACGATCGATGTGTCTCTACCACGAACCATAGTCAACAACTCATGGGACGATTACCGTGAAAAAATATATTTACTTTATGATATACAAATAATCATTGTAAACTTGTCAACACAAATGCAAATTATGTTGACAATTCTTATTGGCAATTCCATGCTTTATTTGCGTAGAGTTTTCGCGGCTTGAAGTTATTCTTTTATTTGTCAATCTTGAGTCAATAAAAATTGCCAATCAAATGTACAACTTGATTGGCAATTTCTTATTGCAAACAATGAACGCAACTTTCATTTATTTATACAAAAATTTTAACTTTTTTTAATTTCTTTTAACACTCTCTTTTACGCAAAGCAATGAATTAAAAGCATCATAAAGCTGCCGTATCAAATAATAGATAAGGCTAATTCAATTGGTACTACGTTAGCAGGGGCCCGGTGGTAGGGGTGAAAGCAGGGAGGAAAGGGGAGGGTATAATAGAACCAAAGTGTTCAATTGCACGATTAGAAGAGGGCTCGTGGGAAGTACCAGCTGAGACCATGTCTCCATTCGAGGATCGACCTCACTTTCTTATTTGTAGGCCGTGACATGCCGACCTTTGACACAGGCATATTTGTAAATTATACAAACTTTCGATGATTTAAAGACAAGTCATTGTAATGCAATGTAATATATGCGTAACGAAAGAAGTTCCCGGACTACTTTTTGCAGGAAAACTAGAATAAAATCAACGGTTCAGGGAAATTGTAAGCAAAATTTTCATCCAAAGTTCATCATCGTAAAAGGCATCACCATTAGGTTATTTTAACGACACTTGTTATCATTAGATATGCAGGACTTTGGTTCGCTGTCGAGTCGTACTGTGACAGAGGTGCTCATGCTGGAGATGAAGATGGCCCCCGCCGCTGGCGCCTACCTCGTTTCCGGTTACCCGCGCTCTATGCGCGACCTCGCTGAGTATACAGACAAGGTAATAATGTCTTATTTACTTTAATATGGTGGATTTTAACATTGATTTCTGATGTGGAAGCGCTAAGAGAGCCTGTATCCTGATAGTAAGCCTATTGGCATTTGTAACAAGCTAATGAACCGCAGATGAGTAACGTTTTCTTTAATTGATAGAGCAGAGGATTACCAAGAATATCCTCTACATCCATCCGATATTGCCTTATATTTTATTAGCAAAAAATGGAAAAGGAGGAAGGAATAGGGTTTTTTACTCCTCAGTTATCAGATGAAACGTAGAACACTATTGCCGATTGAAGCAATACAATGTAGAGCGCGTTACAACAGTTGTTGTAAGTTGTCCTAATCCAAAACTGACCTGTCTAGTGTTGTTTCTTTCTACCATTTATTATTTCAATGAACAAAATGAAATATTTGTAAGCATTCAAATGTCCTCAATATCGATAAGGTTTAGAACAATATTATCGTTTTAAACAACTGTAGCAACATGACCGTCAGAATTATTAAAAGTAAGGGCGCTGTTTCATTACTCGGAAACTCGGTCTTTTGCATGCGTGGTGCGAGACATTTCTTGTTCACGTATCCCGTAGCATTTGCTTGCGAAAACCGTTTTCATTAGTCGTTAGCGGCCGCATGCGTTTGACGATAGTCCTTTCTGTTCCTTAGCGTGCATTATACTCGTCAACTGAGTCCCCGCACATCGCGTGCTTTCATTAGTCGTTAGCCCGTAAGCGTGAATTTCCCGCATGCCATAACAACCGAGTTATCAACTAATGAAACTACGCCTTTACGCTGTGCGTACCCCGCCCTTGACATACTGCTACCGATTTTTGTCAGCTCTTTCACGAATCGATCAACAATGGAGTACGAATCAACTATTGAAAGATTTTGAAGGATTAATGTACCTGTCATCGTGCTAAGGAACTGTACAAAAGTTTTTGTTAACCTAACAATGTAATTTGGTGGTGGCTTAACCGTAATTTTCTAAATTAAATATCAAAACGATTTTACAAAAACCGGAAATTGAGTTATTTCGAAATTATGTTCTTTTCTAAAAATCGGTTAAAAATATTGCAACATTTTTAGAAAGTAAATAAAATATATATTAGAATTGTTATTTCACAATATTAGCCACTTGGCCGATGTCAATTTGGCGTATTTCTTTCGTGACTTCTTTAAGACTACACAACTGGATCCAACTAATGTATCAATTATCTGTCTGTACCAATGACTCTATCAACCTCCGTCCTTGTTCTCAGATCCAGACAGTGAGCGGCGCGGTGGTGGTTAGCTGGCGACAGCGCGTGCTAGAGCGACAGATCGAATACGGCGCGCGGCTCGGGCACGTCGTGCTCAGCTTGGCGCGTATGGAGCTCGCCCACTTTTACAGACACGTGGTGCCCGTTGCCGACTATTTTGATCACACCGGCATGCTTATTGTGGTCAGTGGTAATTTCGTAACGTCATTTTAGCGTGTAAAACATCATCAATGTGGTCAACCTGTTAATATGTGAATTCAATCATTTATTCATTTTTTGTTGTCCTCATATTTAGTATGAAATTTTGGAAACGTACAAGTATAAAATGTTTTCCTCTTCCACGCTTTTCTACCACACGTCTTCACCGTTTTTTCAAGTTATTAATGCAATCCATTATTTTTTTAGATCTACCCTTACAGTCTTAGTTTAAAATTGGTAAATTACTAAAGTATCTAAATGTGTCCACAGAAGTAGGCTTAAAAGGGCTACCATCATGAAACATTTAAGGCCCATTAAGGCCATAATAGAAGTTTCTTGACGAAGAAATAATTCTGAAAATTACTCTTTTCTTACATTGGCTTAAAGTTTTAAAGACTGCAGATGAAGCTTAAATGAAAAAAAAAACAAAAGGAATTGATGTCAGAAGACCGTTGATTGGTTATGTTTGAATTAGGAACTTTTTATTCTATAAACTACATTCTAAATACAAACTTAGCTGCGTTTATTCGTGAACGTAATACCAAAGCGGATATCGATGAGCGTTTTATTAATACATTTCGCGCGCAATTTTCTTTTTTTTAATCAATAATGTTATCTGCACTCTATGTTGGCATTTAATAAGAGTGACGTCAAAGCGTTATCATTTATGGTCCTTAATACTCAATTTAATGCTTTAATCAAAGTCAATAAATATACCACAAGTGGTTTTTTTTGTAGAATATAAAAATTATCTCTATCTATCAACCGGCCCATTAGCTCAGTTGGTTAGAGCGTCGTGCTAATAACGCGAAGGTCGCGGGTTCGATCCCCTCATGGGCCACAATACGTTTTTTGTCTAAACTACCACATATTATACATTTGATTATGTAGTTGGGTTTGTTGGATTGTTTAATTTTGTATCTGTAGGTTTTGGGTCCGCGACAATTTCATCAAGTTGCTCTACCTTAGAATTAGCAAAAATACTCTGCCACTGAGCAAAAATGTACTATTGGCCCATGAGGGGATCGAACCCGCGACCTTCGCGTTATTAGCACGACGCTCTAACCAACTGAGCTAATGGGCCGGTTAATAGTCTTATATAAAGACAGTAGAATACAAAAATCTAAAGCTATAACGAATTTAGCATTTGCTATAACCTAATGTGCTTCAAGTAGTATATTTTTTCAAATACCTACATAAATTTTTCATTTACCTATGGTCACTATCTCTAAAAACAAAGGACCATATCTTTGTTATTCTATCTTATTTATTTCTTTAACTTAATACGAATTTTACTTTATTTTCTGTAACGTAACAAACCGTTTATTTGAATTTCCATCAATAAATATTAGTCTACGAAACAATGAAGTATTCATATTAAGCCTTGCTTATGTAATTACGACAACTTTGGAGGGCGGTAAGCCGATAGTTTTCTTATAAAATATGCACAACTAGAACGGTTAACTAACAATTTCTTCAGGCTAAAGGGACATAGCGTTCGCATGCAACTATTCTTTTAGTTTTTCTAACATATTATTTTTAAAATTATATTAACTCGTTTTATAATAATAAGTTAAACAATTTGACTCGTCCAATCGTAAACAATTCGTAATTTTATTTGTTGTCAGTTTATAACATGCCTAGTGCATTTAAAATCGGACAACCAATAGCTTGAAGCGTTAATGTAGGTTAAAAAAATTCATTTCGTCTTTAGTAAAATATTGGCCCATGAGGGGATCGAACCCGCGACCTTCGCGTTATTAGCACGACGCTCTAACCAACTGAGCTAATGGGCCGTATGATTTCTTTGCTAGAAAGTTATATTTATATTTTTTTAATTTTGATATCAAACATGAGTCGATTCAACATTTCTATCCATTACTTCTGATTTGGTATTAATTGAATTTTGCGTATTAAAGTGACCATAGAAGTAGAGTTATCGTGAGTTTCTGAGACCAAAATCCCCGTTTAAAACATATTGTTATCTCAAACATATCGAAGATGAAAGGGATGACGATATGTTTTAAACAGGGATTTCGGTCCCAGAAACCCACGGTTAGTGACGTTAAACGCGTTCACAGCCTCTTTTAGTGGATCGTCAGCATATTTGTTGTATAGCAAGTTACAACTGTCATGATTCCCGTATATTCATTTCTCTTTCTTTCAAACAGAATTAAAGAGATGCCAACATTGTTACTGTACATGAACGACAATGGGAACACACTTATATAGCCTTCTTTTAGGATAATAATATTATTTAAGTTATTATATATGGAGACGGAAGTACTTGGTGTGGTTGACAAATCGATGTCCATCAATAAATTAGTTGTAGAAGTTTCGCCGCGACGCGTCGCATCGATCGCCGGCCGACGGTCAACGTACAATGTCACCTGTCATAAACAAACGCCGATGTCTAAAGTCAATGTTGAAAGTGACCAGTGTTATTGTAGCACTCACTATGAGTTTCTAGCACCAAAATATCCGTTTAAAACACATCGTTGGCACTGTCATTATCTTATAACAAAGTGTTTGGGATATTTTGGTCTCATAAACCCAGGTCTAGACTATTTTTTTTTGTTAATTCTACAGGGCCCAAATATTGATAGTGTCTACATGAGAAAGTATCACATATGCAGTTTTTTTGTTGTATTAGGACACGTTTTTTCCCTTAACAATTAACGTTGGGTTCTTCATGAAGCGAGCGTATCACCATCTCAAAGTCCGGCAACGCATCTGCGGTTCCTCTGGTATTGCTGATGTCCATGGGCGTCGTTAAACATCTCGGTGTTCCCGCTGCTCGTTTGCCTCCTTCTGTTATAAAATTTTGACACATACTCGTAGATACATATCAAAGACATTTATAAGATAATGATTTTCAGATTACAGTCAGATACGATCAATATAACCAAAGGAACTATTAACCGTAGGTTTCAGACATCAAAACTTTTGTATAAGACATATTGTCATCCCTGTCATTGTCTTTGACAACACAGATATCATAATATGTTTTAAACGGAGATTTTGAACTCGGAAACCCACGGTAAGTATAATGAAAAAATTTGTAAGCTGATTAACGAACAAAATGCGGACACAGCAGCGTCATTTTAATGATTTTATGTAAATAACAAAGCTGTCGGTCGGTGGCTCAGTGGTCAAGCACTTGACTTGCAATCTGCAGGTCCTGGGTTCGAATCCCGCCATGTACCAATGTGTTTTTTGATTTCCAATTTACATATGTACATTTATCCGACGTTCTTAAGGCGAAGGAAAACATCGAAATGCAACCTGCACATATCTGAGAAGTAATATAAAGATATGTGTGAAGTCAACCAACCCGCACTTGGCCAGCGTGGTTGACTATTGCCTAATCACCCTCAACTTAGGGTAGGCTCCGAGCCCCTCGGTGGGGACGTATAGTGAGCTGATGATGATGAACAAAGCTATATAAATGTGTGACGTAACATTAGCCCTTGTCGTGTGAGTTTGCAGCTGTGATATATGTAGTATTAAAAGTTTAATGAATAAATGGTGTACGAAGTTTCAGTTGTTTTTGATAGAAGTTTTTAGACACGTGTAAAAATGTTTTAATAGACAAAACTTAGCATATAGATTGTGGTCCGTTTAACACATGAAATAACAGACCTACAAAAATGTTTTAGTTAGTTAAAGTATTAAAATTGTAAGTACAAATTAAGAAAGTGTGTCACTAAATTATAGAGAAACTGAACTGACCGAAATAAAGTCAGCTGGCGATATTCGCTGATGAATAAATAAAACAAAAGTTACACGACTCAGCAGTCATCAGTTACAAGTCGTTTTATGAATTTTTGAGTTCGTCCAGATGGCCGGGTGGCGTGCTAGCTCTAATTTCTTATGCAATTTCGTTACACTATAATTAAACTTTTCATAATTGAACACTTTTATAGAGTATCAACTTTTGTTATGTTTTTTTCATCAGGCGACGTGCGTTTCTCGTGAGTTTTGTTTAATCTAATCTATGTTATTATAAATAACGAACATTTTTCAAATCTGATTTTTACTTCCTAGTCATTTAGATGTTGTATATTGTTTTATTTTAGGTGAACGGCGAAAGAAATCCCGAGGAAGTGTACAAGGATTTCCGAGCTGCTGTACTGCAGATCCTGGGCACTGCGGAAGACGAGAACATTAACGGCGTCAGTGGTGTAGGGGCTCATGGAATACCGGGAGAAATAGTCGGCGTAGAGCCGGCGCCCGTGGGAATAAGAGGCCGGAGCGTCAGGAGTCACGGTCCTGATAGCAGCAGGCAATATCCTGAAGGGGGCAGGCAAGGCCCCGATAGCAGGAGTCGCCACGAGCCTGTGGTGGTTGACGAACCTCTACCGGCAGCAGTTCCTGTCGTCTTGCCTGTCAATGGAAATGTCGGAAGGATGGTTAGTCCAAAGGTAACGCAAACTTAGACTTAGGCTACCATTTAGAATTATAGTATGCATGTAGTTATGTGTTAATCTATAGCGGATTCACATTATAGGAAAATTATTTTCATCTACCACATGGCCCATTAGCTCAGTTGGTTAGAGCGTCGTGCTAATAACGCGAAGGTCGCGGGTTCGATCCCCTCATGGGCCAACTTATTTTTTTTTTAAAACATGATATGAAGTTAAAATGATTGCATGTACACATTTTTTCCAATCTTACTTTAGATTGTTGTTATTCAAGGCGAAGGTGATCCGTGTGCGCGGTGCGGCGACGCGCGCGTGCGTCGTGTGTGTGGTGGGCGGACCCGGCAGCAACAAGGCCGCGCTCTGCCAGCGCGCCGTCGCTCAAGTAAACGGGTGGACACACTACAGGTACTGGAATACTAAGATGTATTTAGATTAAAATCAAGTAATCTCGGTATATCAATGAGAAAATTCCTGCAACTAAGTTTGCTTTTGGCGTCAAACATTCAACAATGTTTTTACATTACAAACTTAATACTATTGTTGTGCGTCTGTAGCTTAGGCCAACGTCTCCGTTCGCTGGCGGAGTCGGGCGGCGGGGCGGCGTCGGACGGTGCGCTGTGCCGCGCGGCGGTGTCCGGCGGCGAGCTGGTCAACAACGAGCTGGTGGGTCGGCTGGTGCGCGCTGCGATCAGCGACGCTGCGCGCACTGGACATGGCCTCGTGTTGGATGGGTACCCACGGGACTTACAGCAGCTGGATGTGTTCGAGAAAGAGGTGAGATTGTGTCAATTGTAGAACTGTCAAGACCTAAACTTTATTTAATTTTTTTGTCAGATTACAAACCTTTTCGACTCATAATTACATTACTTAAGAAATTCGCTTAGAGCTAGTTAACCTAAATTGGACTCATTTCTTAATCTACTTTGTCATGTTCACAAATGTCTTGTTATTAGTTCAAGATATCACCTCGCATGGTGTTGGTGGACTGCTCGAAGCTGCAGCTGGGCCGGGGTCGGCGCGACGATTCCGTGGCCGCTTTCCGCCGTCGCCTGGAGGTGTTCCGCGAGCTCAGCCTGCCTATGCTCAAGACTCTTGACCAGCAGCACAGGCTTGTTATCGTAAGACAAACTTTTTCCAATCATAAACTTGGTAGAGACAAAAGATGTTCCATTGCTAAATAACTCACGAAAGGGATTGCTTTTATCTTTGAAGTTAATTACATATTTACGAAAACTGACACTTACTATTACGTTTATTTCCATTCACACTATATAATTTCATTTCAATTTATCAAATATTAAGTAATTACGATATTTCTGATAAAATAAATGACATAATTTTATTTTATTTTACATTTATTTTTTCTAACTTTAAATTTTGATTTGAAATTATAATCAGGTGGACGGTGACACGGATTCTACAGAAGTACAGGAAGAGTTCACACGAGTACTGCTAGAAGAGATGGAGAAGGCAGAGGCACTGGCTGCCATGCCACAGAACAATCATGATACCATCACACATCAGCTAGGTGAATACATTAACAAAAAGAATTGGCCCATGAGGGGATCGAACCCGCGACCTTCGCGTTATTAGCACGACGCTCTAACCAACTGAGCTAATGGGCCGGTTGAACTCTTCAGCTGAAAGTTTGCATATCATGAAAATATATATATATATATAAATTTGCGTAGTTAGTGGATAGTGTATAACCAATTTCTAGTAAGTTATCTAGCTCTATCAATTTTTTTCATTATATTAGTAAATTTGAATCTTTCATAAGCATCTTTACAACTCAAAATATTGTTTTTGACAACATAACCTAACTAAGTATGAATATTTTTTTAGAGGAAACATCAGTACCCCATCGTGGCCCGACGCGCACCAATGGTGTCGCCAACGGCGCGAGTCACGCACACAACGGCGTCCTGCACAACGGCACCATTGCCAACGGCTTTGGCGCGATCGCTAATAATAAGGTTATTCGCTAGTAAACCATGTAAACCTGATTTCAATTATGCCAGTACAGTAAGTAGCACTAACCTGGACTGTTATGAATCACTGGCACTAGTTAGTGTTTGGTTTAGAGTACTCTCCTATTGTACTAGAATGTTTCCTCGTCTCCCACATGTCGTCCAAAAACATTATTACCTTGTTGTTTTAATTTAATTGCTTTAAGTAAATCATTTAGAGGTTAGCTGTCAACATTTTTAGGTTATGGAGGACTTGATTTGTGATTTGATTTATTATTACAGGTGAAACCGATTATAAATAACGTAAATCGGATTCCGACAATCTCGCAAATGACACACGACGACGTCAAGAGATTGTACCAGCAGAATACTGGAGACGTTTCTCTTGCAAATCACATTTGAACAAACGGTGTAATAAAACTACAAAAAAAAGATAACCTATAAAATAAGAAAATATAATAAAAAGTTCTGATGTTCAACTAAAAGTTTGCACTTATGAGTTTTGATTATAAAAAGGATATCGGTACATAAAAAACATATTTATTTAGTAAAATTACAGCAGTCTCTGAGATGTTGCTGGTTTGATGGCAACGCCACATTTAATCGTTTTGAAATTTTATAAATTTGCAAAAACTTGGACAGATAATTAAATTATTTGGCAAAGAATAAAAATTAAAAATCTAAATATACGAACACTCTGAAATTTCATCTCAAAGAATCTATTATATTCATAAATGTAAAAATAACTGCTTGTATAGTTTCTAGTCAACATGATAAATTCAATTGAATGTTCAATAATTAATATATTAAACGTACCTGAAATCAAATTGTTGAACAATGAGATAACGTGATATGTGCCTAAAATAATAGTTTTAATGAAATATGTTTAAGTACACTGTAGTTTTAGATTAATTTATATTTAAATTAGTTTGTTACGAAAGAAAAAAAATATTTAAACATATAATCCTCAAACATGTATTGTAGTTATATTAAATTCACAAAATTATTGTTATAATCTATATTATGTATATAAAGTTAACTGTAATTAATGATTAATAAAAATTAAATACGCACACAAAAGTCAAGTGCCTTAACACAATGTGGTATTTTAGGTCGACATCATTTGGATAAATTTCTATTACTTGATATAAAAGATATAAAAAATATTGGTAATTTAAAAATTTAAGGTTATCACGTATTTTCCATATCTGTGACGTTTGGGTCGATGGCAAGTGGACGCCTCGTCAATGCAATGCATCATGCGTGCTTCAATTCGTGCAAGAGGGATAGACATATCTTTTGTGTCGCTCAAATGGCGAGGTGGCGGAGCAGTGATAGGTTGGCGAAGTTGACAAATGTCTGTTAACCTTAAATCGATGTCCACAAGTCCAAATGTAAATTTGTATACGATTTCAGGTTAAATTTTTTATAAAACGGAACGTAAATATAATAATTAAAAAAATATTTTAATATACATGTTAACACAACACGTAGATAAAAAAAGTATATTTTAAGAATATTTAAAAAAATTATGAAATAATATAAGGAATATAAATTAATTAAAAATAGTATCACATAGATGTTATACTGTCACAAAATCGGGGCCAACTTAGACTTTAGATACAGTACTTAGTCAACAATTTTTAGATTTAGTAATATTTTCACAACAACAAAATTTATTTATATTTAATAGTTTCCACAGTGAAAACCCACGTTTAATGCTCTAGCAAGTGCTGTGAAACCGTAGTCGATAAAAAAAATCCTAAAACGTATGTGTTAACTATATTTTATATAGAATTATTTTAAAAAATACATTTATTTTTGTTTTTAAAGTAATTTTTAATTTTTGCAACAATTCTCAATTTTATGTTTACAGATAAATGTATCATTAAACAAAATAATTTTACTAGGATTTGAACATATCTGAACGTACGTTTTTCGAAGCATCGTTCATTGTGCGTACCGCAAAGGATTGGAACAAGTTGCCAGCCTCTGTTTTTCCATCCAAATATGATATTGGGACCTTCAAAAGTAGAGTGAATAGGCACTTACTAAGCTAGCGCGTACCATCTTTCTACCAAATCTCCACTTCACCAGGTGGGATCGTGGTCAAGCGCTAGCTTATAAAACGTAAAAAAAAAAACGTACGTGTAATCCTATCTCAGCTGTTGTTTCTTTTTTTAGTTCGACTCATAGTTACATTTTTTTATTTAATATTATCAGTTCTATGTAGTAACTGTTTGTATAGGTTTTATTTAAACTTTTAAGATTAAAAAGTTATTATATACTTTTAATATAAAAATCATGTAATGTTATGTGGTACTAGATTTAAATCACTTATTTATCTGTAGAATTTATTTATTATATTAATAAAAAGCACCTTTTATACACAAAAGAATTTTTTTATTTTAATCTATAAGAAGAGCAAAGCTGGCATCTATTCGAAGCTCGTCTGCAGTTTTTTTTTAAATCTTGGTCATGAAGGCACTTTTGAGTACGTAAGTACATTTCAGTTACTGTATAAAATCAAAATGTTATGTTGCAGTGATGTTTTCACCATGTTTTTGTAGATTATATAACCAATGTCAAATCAATAGCCATGGACTATAATAATGTAGCTATTATTTTTCCCGCCACAACCCTATGACTTTCCCGCGCTGTCAGAGGTCGCAACTACGCTATTGGTTGGCACAATTTTCGTGACCTTGACCGAACTACAATCAAATCATACCCGCAGGCCGCAGTCGGTCCGTAGAATTTGCGTTAGTCGGTGGTGGATCGCGTGTTACGTTTCATATTTTCTATTATCGCTAGATTTCAAATAGAATGGTGAGTACACATTGTTTTTGATTTATAAAATGCAGTTTCATTTTTAAATTATTTCTGTTATGATTTTAATTCAAAATTAGTAAAAAATGTCAAAGAGATGCGTGTAGATGCTCAAGATTTTTGGTTTCAATGTTACGTCACAGTGAGATAATAATAGAAATTATATTTAGCTGATTTTTCGTCAAGAACCGAGTCATTTATAATGAATTTGGTGTTCGTAAATTTAAAGTTGCGTAACGCACAAATAAAAATGGAGTAAAAACATTATAGTAACAGTTATAACTGTACCCACTTATAACTTTGCGAATATAATTTTCTCTATAGAACAATGAATAATAAATATAAAAATGGCATTCAAATACTACTGCTGTCATTTTAATAAAAATAGTGTTGTACCTTACGAAGATTCCGCGCCAAAAATCTCATTTTTAAGGTTATAGCAACATTAATCTTTTCACAACTGCAATGAAAGGCAAAAACAATCAAAATTCAGATGCTATTGATAACATGTTGTTATATTATTGGCCGTCCATTGTTTGAATTACCATTATCTTGAAATGTGATTTGAATAAGTTGTGATAACGTCGATTGCAATAAAACAGGGCTATTATTTTTATTATTTTACAGAAAAATCGCATATTAATATTGATGTAATATTGTGAGTTTCTAATGGTCAAACAGTTGTATAAAACACGCCATCTTTGTCAGTCTCTTTCAACAAAAAAGAGAGGTTATGTTTACATCTGTAAATCTAAAAATGACCTTGGTGATAGATCTCTTCGTACATAAATATAGGTCACCGAACGAAACAATTACTTTTATAACATATTTTCTAAATTATTTCGCAAGCTTGAACGTGAACAAAAATTTTCCAATGAATAAAAAAGACATTCAAAATGTTTATATTTTGTTTTTCAAATTAAACAACGTAATATTTAATTCACCTTCTTTCAATTTAAACCAAAGCAATTTCGAAAACGTTAATTATTATCATCTAACCAACATTATAAATTCGAAAGTTTAGATGGATGGATCGATGGCATAGGCGTAGAACGTAGTCTGGAAAAAACACATAGGCTACTAATTAAGTTTTTTTTTTAATCCTACGGACGCAGTCGCCTGCAACAGCTAGTTAATCTATAAAAAGAATTAACATTAACAGTAGTATTTGACGCAATACATGATACATATAAAATCTTGAAAATCTTCCAGTGTGTTTGTGCTAGCTCGTGTGTATACATCGCCTCGGTTTTTGGCACAGAATACCAACATTAATTCTTGTAACCTTCGGTGTTCGGATTTCGATGAAACAGATAACTTACATCGAGAGCTTTTTATTATCTAAATTGTTTTGTTTTCTATTAATTGTGTTCGCTTTGGTTGAATTCGAATTACAACGGAACTGTTTAGAGGTATGTTGGTATAAAACATTTTATGAATGTGATGGTTTATCTTACTAATATAATAAATGCGAATGTTTAGATGGATGGATGTTTGTTTGAACATATCTCCAGAACGGCTGCATGGATCTTGCTTAATTTTGACACAAATGTAGAATATATGCTGTAAGAATATATAGGATACAAATTAAGTTTTTTTTTATCCCGCGCACACGGTGTCGCGGGCGACAGCTAGTAAACAATAAAATCTAAATAAGTAGATAAGATATAAGGATAGTAGTAATAGATTTTGATGATTAAAAAAAAACAAAAAGTACACGCAATTCTTAAATCATCGCTTGTGAAATAAAATAAGATAAAAACTTTTTTCATACGCCGCTGACTCAATTCTAACGTCTTTCACCTTGTCCTCAAAGTCTGTCTGTTCGACGCATTTGATTTTTTGTGACTTTAAAACATTAGAGCTAACGAACGGAGAGCTATTATTATCAATAGCTCTCTTGTATAATTTATCTAATTTTAACAACAAAAGCTCACCATAATGATGTCTTGCTAAAAGGTGAAGATATTCTTAAAATCTAAAATGCGACATAATTTCATGTTAGGAAGTAATTCTAGTACGCTAGTTTTTATTAATAAGCGATGTCTTCTCTCGATTAGTGATTCAGTTTACCAAACCGTGCATAGACAAAAAACCAAATGACAAAACATAACTAAAAACAAAAGTTAGTTATAGTATCATTAGTAGGTTTAGTTGAGTTCACGGCCTTGTCCAGCGTCATTTGGCAATCAGACGTTCAACATGGCTGACTGTTGGCAAAGGAGACACTAGAGAATATTAATTAATTACTGAGCTAAGTCAATGAGCTTTTACATAACCTCTGTTTATCCCTTTCTATGTGGAGTGGGTACAAAAAACTTTCATCCACAAAATCGAATATATCTTTCATCTCCTCTGTCACCTTTCACGAAATCTATCTGACTCTTCTTATGGCTACTTCCAACGATATATTTAAAGTTCTGATATTTTCTATATCTAGTCTAGTCTAGAATGTTATCTTTGTTATGGGAGCCCCTTAGAGCTTGATGAAAAAAAACCGTAATCTGTAGACTGCTCAAAATGTCATCTTTAACAGTTTGGTCTGTTCTGTTCTGTTTCTTGTTTATGGCTCTCCCTCAACGGATTGGGCCAATGTCAAGTGTTTATGTTTAAGTGTGTAACAGTTTGGTCATGAATTATGAACTTCAATACCAAAAATGTCGGAATGTCACATCAAAATTGACAGTAAACAAATAAACGGGAAGTTTTTTACTCAATCAATGTTTAGTTAAATAAATGGATTTGGAAAAAACTTGCTACCCTTGCAAGGAACCTATACAAGATAAAAAGCCTCCCTGTCCTCTCCAATGCAAGTCGCCAAAATGTACTGCCTACAAACCCAAGGTAATTTGGAGTTTTACAGTTCGGACTTTTTAGTAGGACTGTTATATTTTGGGATGGTCTTTATAGGCAATAGTTACTATTCCAGTCAAGCCTTTTTCTCCTCGACGTTTTTACACTATAAGGGTAGCTCCAAGTAGTAATTTTGCCAAAGCTCGTAGTGTAACCATATTCTGTTATTATATTACTCGAACCAGGTATCTCTCTCCGTTCAGTGGTGATAAATCAAATATTCTGTTTGAACTTCCAGGCACCAATAGACACAAGCAAGACGCCCATAGTATGGGTGCTGGGGGGTCCAGGATCAGGCAAGGGCACGCAATGCGAGAGGATCATTGCTAAGTATGGTTTCACGCATCTCTCCACCGGTGACCTGCTGCGTGCGGAAGTCAAGAGCGGCTCTGACCGCGCCAAGTGTCTCACATCCATCATGGAACGGGGTAACTGATGAATTATATTTAACTGCCAGACCCATAATCGTACATGGAATTAAGATAACTGTTTTATTACAGATCGAACAACGGAAAAAACGGCGCAATGATGCAAATCGGTTTTTGCTAATTAATTTGTCTCGCTCAGCCAATAGTTAATTCCCCTACAAGTTCGAGTAAGACGATAGTTTTATTTGGTCCGTCGCGCGGTTGCAGGTGAGCTGGTGCCTAATGAGACTGTGCTGGAGCTGCTGCGGGAGGCAATGATGGCGCGCGCCGCTGATTCTAAGGGCTTCCTCATTGACGGCTACCCCAGAGAAAAGTCGCAGGGCATCGCCTTCGAGAAGACCATCGCTCCTGTTACCGTGAGCAGATTTACTACCACTCTTACAAATCCTTATTTTGAAATCTTTTGCATTTCATCTAATGAATGAATTGCCGCAGCTACTACCTTTAAGTACTTTTATTGACGTAAAATTACGTAAAATCTAGTGAACTGCTTGCTTACTTTAACTTCTTTACAAATTAGTGCTGTAATTGTTATTTTGTTACGTTGTTCGTGGCAAGATGCCCGATAGTCTATCATAGCAATACATATTGTTTCAGGTGATCCTATACTTTGAGGCGTCGTGTGAGACGCTGACGAAGCGGCTGCTGGGCCGCGCGGCGAGCTCTGGCCGCGCCGACGACAACGAGGACACCATCAAACTGCGCCTCAAAACTTTCCTCGACAACAACGACCTCGTGCTCGCACAGTATCCAGACAAACTGAGGAGGGTATGTTACAGACTCATTACCGTTGCTGTTGACTGGACTAAGTTAAAATCTATGAAGCCCGGCTGACTAAAATATTTTAAAATTTGTACCCCCAAACAGACTCCATTTCATCAAGCGAAACCGCACCATAAATGCAAGGAAATAAGGTTTAAAATTATGTTAGCTTTTTGGAAACTCGTGAGTGAATGCTATTTTGTTGATACAGGCACGTTCACTTGGTTATTCATTTCATGTGTATGGGGTTTCCGTCATACTTTTTGCTTGCAGTAAAAAATGATGAAGTAAAGCTTGAAGTACTTTAGAGCGTGATAAAATACAATTACAGACCTGTCGTGTCTTAAAGGAAAATTATTCAAGCGCGCTTTTTATTGCAAAAATCGATTATTCTAATGAACATAATATAACCGCAATGCAGTAACAGACAATATCGATTATTTTACTTAGCTTTCTTGTTCATTTTGTGTCGAAGTCACGTCATGAGGATTTGGTTATACCTGCCTACTTTTAGACATTATTAGTTAGAATCCTTTGGCGCGAATGACGCGCTTTCGTTATAAAGTCAAGTGTCAGAATGATTAGTGAGGGGACATAAACATCGACATTTTAGTAAGGCTGGTGTTGCTAGTACTCCGGCACAGTGTCGGATTTTCTTCCTAATATTTCTTATATGTTTGGTTCTTAAAACATAAGTGATTGTTACAGATAAATGCCGAGGCGACGGTTGACCAGATCTTCAGCGAGGTGCAAAAGATCCTGGATCCCATCGTGGCCACTAAATGAGCTCCCACGACTGAAGTCAGCTAGCACAATATTGTACATATACCTACAACTAATATAACTTTACTGATCATTAAATTATTTCTTTATTCTGTTAACTTGGGTTATTTATTTTATTTAATATTGTTTAGATTCATTTTGCAGCTTTGAAAATGTCTGTGTGTGTGTGTGTGTGACTGGAATCTACATATCGATCTATAAATTTTACTCATGACAAAACATATTAATTAATTAATTTTATTCAATGTTAAAAGCTTACAACAATTCTTAGAGGTTTGCTTAAATTCTATGCTTTGCTTTTCTCTAACATACCAAATATTACGTCTTACAAGTTATAAGGGAATTCAAAAAGTTTCGGGTGATTTTCACTATACAAATACTGTTAATGCGACGGCACTTTTAAATAAAATCGGTCCGAATCCACTTCGATTGGATGCCGTCTATCATTAAAACAAAGAATACTTTTGTGTAGTGAAATTCCCCCTTTTGCAGATGACATTTAGTGTAGGTCCACTTGTTGCTTCTCCCTCTGGCGCACGGCGACCGCCGTTTCTACTAAGAGGTACAGGCATTTAAACTTGTCCCTCTCAAGCTCCGAATTTGCCGGCACCACCTGCAGTAATGGTTCCACTTTAATTTATTGCGACAAGTAAATTGTTAACTTACAAACAAGTTGTTTATGGCAACACTAAATTGAATCTGTCAAATATAATCTATGGAACCATTCAAACTGTCAGGTGACGCCGGCATTAAAACAGTACGGAAAGAAAACAATCTGTTTAAAAACAAAATTTATTCTGCAATAGACAACTGAATAAGATCCTCAAACTAAGATAAAAATTACGGTATATTCTTCTTAATAGAAACTAGTCTAGTTTAAATTGGTTTCATGTTCAATATTTATAATATTTAATTTAATACCGACCTCGCCAACAGATTGTAATAATTTGAACACTATTTATTAATTCCATGGTATCGAATATCAAGAAATAACCGTGCGTATTGAAAGTACCCACAACAGACCTAACAAAATGGTGAGCATTAGCGCAGTTTTATTTTTAAACGCCGTCTTATTATCAGACTCGAAAGTGTTCAAAACGTACTTTCTTGCTACCATTTTTGTAGCTAATCTAAATTATTTAATATCCTTAATTTTAATAACTTAAGTCTTCTGATAGGTGCTGAATACATTGTCTACTGTACATAGACAACATAGTGGGTGTGGATCATGGTTGTTGCGATGAACATTGTGTTCATGTGTCGGTCCTGTTGTTGTGGCACCACATGTCCGTGGTGGCCACCTCGAGTTCCATGGCGACTGGCGGCGGCGGGCTCACCTGCGCCCCCAACAAATAAGCTACAAATATTTTTAACAAACCATTTAAAGACATTAATAGTTCGTACACGCCACCACATTTATATGATGAGCCAAATAATTTTCCTGAATTTCCAATCCACCAAATTATTGGAGATTAGTTGTTATCTTTAGTGCTATCACCTGTATGTTATGTTTGGTTGCATCACCTGTGTATGCATCGGCTGGTGCAGTCGCGGCATCTGCGGGGCCCAACCGTCACCATCATTCTCAACCTCGCCCTCCACCAGTTGGGTCGAGCTCATCGTCACCACTCCACCAGATCTATTTACAAAACTACGATTGTTTTTAATTTGTCGTAAACATTTATTCCTGTTTGACTCTTTCGATGATGTCCGTTTTTTGAATGATTTTACACTTGGAAGTACATGACAAAAATTAATGAACTAATTTGTAAGTATCATAAGAATACTATACAATTATCGAATTCTGTAACGTTTATGTTAGAAGCTTGAAGACTGGCACTAGATACATTATGAGCCAAAGAACCAATATAATTAAATCCATTGAATTTTGAAAAAATATTTGGAAATACGTTACCCTCTAATAGCGGGATGCAAGTCCCTGTCGTCGGGTCCGTAGCGGATGACGGACTGCCACACGGAGGGGTCATACTTGACCTCCTCCTCGCTGACGGCGCTCGAATACCCTTCCTCCGCGTCACCCAGCGCATCGCTGCGATACACCAGCAGACCGTCGCCGTAATCGTGTCCGCGGCTGTTATCCACCACGTTCTAACATATTTGGATATAAATGAAAAGCATTTTCAGGTTTTATATTTGTGGAATACGAGATAAATCGATTGTACGATCGCTTTCGTGTACAAAATGTGTTTGTACCTCAACTTCTACGCCACCCCAAGCGGCGACAGTGACGTTGGCGGGCGCGAGACCGAGGCCGGAGCCCGAGGCAGGCAGGCCGAGCGCGCCTAGTGCTCCTAGGGCGGCGCCGGGTGGCTGCTTGCGCCCGCGCCGCGAGATCGTGTAGTGTACCGGATCGTGCCCCTCCCGCCGGATCATTTCGGGCAGAATGCGTCGCCGCGCATTTATAAACCAATTGCAAACCTAAGAAGACAGCAGGAACATCTTAAGTTCTATAATTTATTACAAAATAAATGACACATCTAATGCCATAATACATTGTGACATTGATCTAGAATTTCCTGTAAGCATACGTATTATGAAGAAATTGTTTTTCAAACAAAATCATTAGTATGCAGCGTCAATAAAGGAAGTAAAAATACAGGCGATAGTAAAGTAATAAAAAGCAAAACATTAGAGCAACCTGCAGGACGGTCAAGTTGGCCTCCTGACTGAGAGCCAGTTTCTCCGCGTCGCTGGGGTATGCGTTGTAACGGTGGTCGTAGAGCCAGCGCTTGAGTATCTTGACCGAGTGCTTGGGTAGGTTGCCGCGTCGTTTGCGCACCGAGCCCACCACGACAGCTTGCGGTGGCGGCAGGCGCGCCTGCAGCATGGGCGGCCGCAGCCCCGCCTCCGCCTCCCACTCCGTGCCGCTTTCGTTCTCGTCAGTCGATGATGTTGACGGAAAGCGATCGCGCGCTATAACAATTGAACGTAAAACTTATTTTATGTATACTTTATTGACAAAGAAATACCTCTACTAATCCTGTATGCAAATACTTGACGATTCTTACAACAAATTTTAACTTCCATCTTTATATAAATGTCCCGTATTTACTGCTTTTCACTTATAAAGATAATATTAACAAACAAAATATTATTTGAGTATACACTTTCTAAATAATGCTTGTTGAAACTCGCAATAGTATTCATTTCTTAGTGACGGGCTTATGCAAAACTTTGAAAAAGTAACTTCATCCAAAGTCACTATTTCGCGCAATATTGTTGCATGTTTATATTCTAACGCAAGTCATGTATTCCTTGTACCGCTTAGTCGATAAATAAAAGCAAATACTAACGCAATTTGATCTTCATAACTTTGATGACGGACTTGCGCAGGTTGCTGATGTTGTCCAGCCTTGCCAGTTAGATTCCCGCGCCGCGTTGACACAAGCCGCTCTTAGACAGGAGGAATTTATTCTGTCGTTCTTAGACAGAAGAAATGTCTGAAATCGTCAGTGTCGTCTTCCGACATGTGATCCTGGGCCGTCCGACCAACAATGAACGATTATTTTTGTTTTATAAAACGATGCGCTTTTGTGACAATCGACAACGACATGCACTGTCAATTGTCATGGTGAAGCCGATTTTGAAATTTTGAAAAATATAAAACTTCTGTTGCCGGCTAATTATGCAACGCCAGTATTTATATAAAAGAAAGAAACAAAGAGGTTGTAGTTTAATTTTTTTAATTTAAAATATTTTGTTACAATTTGTGAGGTATTCAGGCTGTTTAGAACTATCCGAGATTGTGACATAAAAATCGCTGCCGAAAAATATTTTTCCTAGTTTGTTTTGTTTAAGAATATTCCAGCAACAGTCCGCACTCCCGTTCCTGGGTTGTAACTTCGCAAAATCCATTACTTACCTAACACAAGCTTTTAAGTTTCGCCTTTGGAATGGTTTAAAAAAAATACTGCTCGAATCTGCTAATATTTGCACACTTTGAAATCTTACCATCCACAAGAATGCGGTATGCTGTTTTGTTCGCGCCGTTAGCATTAATTAATGAAAATACATAAATATTTAATTCAATACTGGCTAGTTTAATAAGACCACCATAAAACAAAAGCTATTTATAATATGCGTATACAATATCCAAAAACACAAGCACAAGGTAGTGCATCAATGGGCCACTTCTTTATCTTCGTGTACGGTGACTGGGATGGGCGAGTGGGGCGCGTGCGGTGCGTGGGGCGGCTGGTAGTGAACGGCGGGCGCGGAGAGGGCGCAGGGCGGGCTCTCTTCTGATCTATTGTGACTCTGCTCTATCGTATCTGAAAGGATCTCCTTGAGGGTTGACGCCAACGCTTTCGGATTCCCACTGCTGTCCAACTGTATGAACATATCAGAACGTTTCAGGTAACGGGATTACTAAAATATCTTTGAATACCAAAATATGTTTTATATTGATCTGGAGAAGTCTAAATACAGTATACAAGTAAAGTAAACAATCAACGTCTATGTTTAAATCTATTTACTACTCTAATTTAATAGTAATATTTATCAGCTCAAACTTTGCGTCCCAAAATTATTGGCAGTTTTTAATTATTCCAGTTGTTATAGCCAAAGAGCTAGGCTCCTATCTTCTGCTCGTGGGCAGTACCATTAATACATACGGCTATTCTAGTAGGCTATGACACTGTACCGTTATAACGTGTCCTCCGAATCGTTTGTGCACATTCTTGACTTTGTGAGCGGCGTCACGCACGATGTCGCGTGCCGCGTTGATCTCGGACTCGGGCCTGCCAAGCTCCGACAACTTGTTCTGTAGCCTAGTCGCTGCCACCTGATATAATATACAGTGACTGACAAAGCTCACGGGTGCGTACTAGAGATTCCAGCGACTACGTAAAGCCAACCTTTGTCTTCTAGGAAGCTAGCATTTGTCCTACAACAGCTAAAGCTTTGAGTTCTTGCTCTTTTTCCACTTATCAAAAGGCTACGCTTCGTTTCATCATTTACTATGTTTCTTTAATTGCTATTCTTTAAAATAAGAAAACGTCAACTACCTCATTATCAACCTGGAGTGCGACGATTTTTTCTGGCCATTTGACCTGACTGTTGAATATGTTTGACATCCGCGGGTTCTTTGGGAAGCCGACGAGTATGTAGCCCTTGGCATCCTGCTGCGACAGCATCGCTTCTTTTATCAAATCCACTATTAATTGCTGTTAATAAAAGACATCACATTAAAATATATTTGCGGCACGAGTCCAACTGGATTGAAAATAATTAAGTATGCTAGAAAACAAAAAAGATCAAAAGTTTAACGTTCGAAACTGTTTTCACAAGATCGAGCGAAGTGATTTTATCTTACAAATGATTTATGTTATTTTCCAAAGTCTTACACAATATCCAAGAATTTATAACGGTGTTAACATTAAAAACGTACTTCCGGAATTTCTTCTTGTGCCTGTAATTTATCTGCGATGAGTCGTCCCCGTGCCGTGTCCATGTCGGCCTCGGTCCGGACCAGTTCGCCTGGCCGGATCATTACGTAGCCGGTGATGCTGGAGATGGTCTGCGCGACTGTCTGGTTGCCTGCGCCTGGCACACCGTTTACGAAGATCACCGGTAGATGGCGGATCGGCGACATGTCGTACACTGTGTCCTCCTTCGACGAATAAAAATTGCAAAGATAACCTTATAATATTATGATTTAGGATTAAGCCACTAAGTTTGTCTTGTTGTAATAGATGTAGTTCCTGAGACAAAGTTAGGTCATAATGTATTTTTAGGGATATATTTAGTTGCGTTTAGTAACAAAGAAATACTATCCTTAAAAATAAGTATAACGTTTGTGAAGGCCTTAATTTAAAGCTTCCCTCTAATGTAGACGTCGTATTATGATTACTGCTTCAACTCTAGACGGCTTATTGTAAACACTTACTATATTTGTAATTTCTTTGGCTACAGATTTTATAATGTATGAATAATCAGTATCAAACTTAACAGTTGTGTTAAGGTAGATAATTTACTTTATTATTTCTTTTAAAGTTCTAACATTATTCTTATAGTTAAACGTAATGGAGAAAGTGATATTGTCAAAACATCAGACGTCTGTTCTATTAGTTTTATCACTGTCTTCTCAGGTATTTTCAAGACAGTTCGCAACCAACCTCTATCATTTTCCTCGAATAAAAACAACCCATATTGAACTTGAACCACTAATTAACTTGCGTCGATTTGTAAATAATTACAAACAATAAAGTTTTTTAACGAATTAAAATGACATATCTAAATACATGAATCTCGTTTTGAAACAAGCACGTCTAGATTTGTGACATTCATTTTGACGACCATCAATCGGGCGTACATTCGGTCAGTATTCGTTAACAATACTTTTTTAATGCGAAAAGACTTTTGTATTTAATTTTTTTTAGCTACCGAAACATAGTACAAACTTTCTAAGTATTAATCATCAAGCAATAGTCACCTATTAAGCTTTTTAAGATATTTAATAAAAATATAACTTGAGCGCTTTGCGCCTGATAATATTTTAGCTGTTTGTCGTAGGACTTTGGGCCGCGCTATCATTTTGTCAGTGGAAAAAGTGCGCGCAACGCAAATGTTATAGATCCTACTGCACAAAAGGGGATCGAACTGCCTCTTTCTCCTGTTTTGTTTTACATTCACAGACCGAGGGACAAAGATAATAAGTAACAAACATTATTTGCTTTACAAAAATATTCCCATGACCATCACATGACAGTCAACTTTACAAATGTAATTATGTTGTCCAATCATAACTCAACTTCCGTCAGTGCAGGTCCCCTCTATCATTCTACCTTCATATATCATGGGTGACATGTTGAAAGAAAAATCTGATATAACTGTAATAAAAGTATTTAAAATGTTACTTTTAATCATTACTTGCATTACATTTAGTAGTGTTCAAGCCATCGCTAAATGTTCAAATGATGAGCCTCAAGTTAATCAAGAATATTATCTAGTAAAAAAATGTCACAGATCTAAGTTAGGTATATCATTTAGAGCTAATTTTGCTAAGTTATCGAGCTGTAAGCGTTTTGCTCGAGAGCAAAGAGGTTTATCTTTTAACTTTAGCCCACAAATAGGTGGAGTGGGTTTAGAGTATACTTGTGAAGTGTTACAGTGCGCAGAAATATCTACAGGTTTGTCATTGACCAATGATTCTAGATATGACTATTATAGCTTATTTGGAAATCTTTCATGTGAGTATTAAAATTTGGCAACAAAAAATTACTTTTTACAATGGAAACACACGTTAATATTTGTTTTTATTTTATCTTTCAGTAACAGTAAACTCAATATGTGTTCCTTCATTGGGCTTGTTCTATTTCTTCTCGAATAAAAGGACTTATTCAGAAGCGATAGACGAGTGCCGCAATAAGAGCAGTGTTTTAGCTGATATCACTTCTGAAGCAAAAACAAACGCTATGGCTAAACTGTTAGCAGATGTTGGCTCAGAAGAGGCATTCATAAACTTAAAACGAGACAATACCAGCGACTTTATTGCTTCAAATGGTAAACACATTACTGATGCGAAATACTAAAAGATTAGTTATTAAACTATTCTTATTAATAAATTGAAAGGCGTCTAACTGTAACGTAATTATCAGAATGGTATATTCTTTCTTAATAACATTATTTTTTTGTTAATTCGTAGGTGATTTACTTGAATGTACATCTTATCGTGCATGGGCTCCTGGTCATCCAAGAAAACGGGGGAAAGCAGACTGTGTAACAATCACCAGATATCGCACTTGGAGATCTGTGTCTTGTGAAGAACAACTGGAAGCTCTATGTGAACTTATTCCTAAAAAAAATGTAAAATCGTATTTAAGCATAACGTAATAAGAGCATTGGTTTAACCTTCAAAAAAAGGTGACGATTTTTATTCTCCGAGTACATTTGGTATAATACATACAAAATTGAAAATATTTTATTTAAATAGTACATTGTTTTTTTTTAATTCTTTTTTCTATAATCTATATATAAGATTTATTATCTGAGACAACACGGTATGGCAGCACTGAATGTCATCTGTCAATTTGACTTTGTAATTGTTTATTTTTATTTACCTTATTGGATTGGATATCTCTCTGAAATAGATTCTTCATACTTATTTAATTAAAAACAAATTATAAAATAAGTATGGGACAAGGAAAGAGTCAGTTTTCAGAGGAAGAACTTCAAGATTACGAAGTAAGTAAATTTTGTCTGTGTAAATTTAAGCAACAGTCTACGTCGGACTAATCGGAATATATTTGTTTTAGGATCTGACATATTTTACTAAAAAGGAAGTGTTGTAGTGAGTATTAAAAACAAAATTTTAAATAATGTCACATAAAATATTAAATTAAAAATGTTTATCCTAGTTCGTAATACTGCCGCTCATTTATGCCTTAGTCAATGATTTTTTTAATTAACAAAACATTGTAAGTACATTTAACTAAAACGTGTTATTTGTTTAACAGTGCTCATCAAAAATTTAAAGCTTTAGCCCCAGAAAAAGTTGGACATAATAAAAATGCTAAATTACCAATGGCAAAAATTCTACAATATCCGGAGCTGAGAGTTAATCCATTTAGAGATAGAATATGTAAAGTGTTCAGTTCAAGCAATGACGGTGACTGTACATTTGAAGATTTCCTTGACATGATGTCAGTGTTCAGTGAAACAGCTCCAAAAGCAGTCAAAGCTGAACATGCTTTCAGGATATTTGGTAAGTGATAGTCTGGCAAGCATTAATAATCAAGGTGTGTGAAGAGAGTCCTATACTATCCTACAACGTTTATTGTTTTATGGTAACTACAGCTACAAATTTGGGCTTTGGCACAGCATTCAGTTGTATAACTGAGTACTTAGATATTAAAATACTTTATAAATCTGGTCATTGTCATAACAGGAGTAATCTCATGCTCAACATAAAACTCAAGTGACAGATATAAGTAGCTAAGTAATCTCATAAGAGTAAATATTAAAAAAACTCATTTAATTTACTGTAGACTTTGATGGTGATGACATGATCGGAGTGTCTGATCTACGTGAAGTCATCAAACGTCTCTGTGGACCGGAACACAAGCTGAGTGACTCTGAAATCCAACAACTGGTCCAGAATGTGCTAGAAGAAGCTGACCTTGATGATGATGGGGCTCTATCTTTTGCAGAATTTGAGCATATCATTGACAAGAGCTCAGATTTCTGTCAGTAAGTATTACATGACGAAAAGTAATAAGGCAAAGTATTAATCCATTGTGGGTTTGCATGTTATGGATAAATTGTTATTTCCAAATTGGAAACTAATGGACCTTGAGTCAGTGAGACCAGGGCCTATTGAAGTTTTGGTACTCAGTATAGAATATTTCCGTTGATTATCCATATCTCTATTTAGAATATGTGTAGACAAAGGCTGATGATGATGATGAAATTAATGATACATTTCTTTATTTTTCAGCTCATTCCGTATAAGACTGTGAAAGAATACTCATATTTAAGGAATACAAAGACACATTTCATACATTAAGTTAATCTCATTAGATAATTTAATAGTGTATTATTTATGAATGTGTAGCTAAAGGAAAAATACTCTTTGGTACAATGTGTTTCACTAATGTTGATAAAATAACATATTATCTAGATGTAAGAGAGGATGTAAAAAATTTTTAGTGAATGTTTTAAAAAATGTTCAAATGTTTCAGTGTAATTTTTATAAATTTTCTCCCAAATATTAAGCATATTTGCTTATAATTTTAAAGTTAAGACTTCCAACATGCACTTCTTTTCTTAAATGGTTTGTATTTTTGTGTTTTTTTTTAATTTATTCAATGTATTTTTTTTATATTACTGAATCTCATGACTGATCTTATTTACAAGTATAAAAAGATTTTTGGTTAAATGTGTTGAGTATATTAAAATTGTAATTTGATAATTAAATGTTTTACCAATGAAATATTAATTTTTAATTATTAACACCACATTAAACATGTTCATAAAATGGGGAAATTAATAAAACACTACATTTATTAGTATAAAAATATTTATTCAACTTAATAAAAAGTGACATCCTTACATGTTTCTTGATTATACTTAGAAATAAATGCTCAGTTTTGTAAATAACCTGGTAGTTTCATTCTCATAAATATCCAAGTAGTGAAAAATGATACCAAAATACAAAGGAAGGCCACAGATATGAGCAAGATTCTGTTCAATTTTGGTGTAGATGGATTGTGTGTTCTATCCAATATTATAAAGCCAAGGCCGCCTAGGGAAAACAAGAAGCTTGATGCTAAACCTTCCATTATATACTGGCCATTGACTCTGTTAGGCATAAAGGCTACCGGCCGGCTATGGCCGTGTTCGTCAGTTGTAGATCCTACGCTTGGTGGTTCCACTATGACATCGTATATTATACCTAAAACATTAATAAATTTCACATATACTTCCAATCAGATACAATAAAGTCTAATAAGAATAATATCAGATAAAACATCTAACCTCCTGTCACCAAAAAGTATGATAAAAGCACCAACGAGAAGGTAGTCATGGCAGATGGCGGTTGCAGCCATATCGGCTTCTTTATCTTTATATTAGGTATTTCGAGTACTGTAAACGGTAACGCAAATAATGTTTCCATTTTATTTTTTGAAGGAGCAATCGATTTAGGCACAAGACAAATTATTTAAACTTAAAACGCCAATTGTGTTGACGTAGATGACGTTTCAAGTTCGAGTAATGGAAATGTGGAACTTAAGCAAGGCAAATTGAAAAATATTCAGTTCGAAAGTCGGAAAATAAAATAAAAAGTGGTTTGCTTACATAAATAAAACTACTCCTTCCGTCGCTTCTGTAATTAATTTAAAACTTTAAATTTGTTTTAAATAAAAATCAACAATTTCCAGACACACAATGTCGTAAAATGGAACGTCAATTAGTGTATCAAAAAATAACCAATCAAGATCCATCATGAACGTTAAATGTTATATTACTATTGGAGGAGATTCCCTAATCAATTATTTTTCATCGTATGCACCAATAGCGTTATAACTCGATACTTGAATTTGTAAATGAATGAAAAAATCTTGGGAATTTGGCAACTGTCAAATTTATACGTTTCAACGAAATCGTTCGTTGTCCAAGTTTATTTTATTTCATTTTAATGTAACTAAATGGTGGCTTTCCGTTATTGTTTAAAAATACAAAACAATGTATATTTTGTGTTTGTGATGTCAGTGAATTGAATTACAGTGTTGAATATGTTTACCAAAGCTATGTGAGAATGTGTTAAAATTGCACACAAAATGAACTGGACTGTGGATTTTTCAGTAATTTTACGATGAAGGGTGGTTTGTGTATTATTTACACGTCGTTACTGACCATTTCAGTTCTATCGAGGTACGGTAATGAATTACACATTCAGTTAATTTATTTAATAAAGTCAGGATTAATGAATATTTTTTTTCAGCTGTGCCCTCTTCATCCTTGTGGTTTCGGAGGCTCTACAAGGAGAGGGCGATAACGTGGACCTCTCAGGGCTTAGTAACGTCAGTCAGAAGGTGTCATCTATAGAAAAGGATGAAATTCCAGAAATCCTGCCTGAGACCACTACTTATGAACCAGATAATAAAAAGAAAAAAGACCTACAGCAGCAAGAGATGATATTTGCTGAAACGCTGTCAGTGAACTCTGTGACAACTGATGGGTGAGTTTAATTTGATATTTTAATTAGAGAAAGTGAGAGGAATTTGCCTACAGAAGTTGATTTCTTTTTATTGTTAACTGGCCAGCATCTTTATTAAAATTTATCTTTTGATCTAATCGTAATTAAGACACTTGTTTTAATTATTATGTACATGTGTGTACATTCTATATTTAAACAATAAGCACTTGGATTATGTAAATCTTGTTATATTATAATCTGAGAAGTATTCACTGTGTTTGCTGTTAAAAGGTTTGTTTCCACGCAATAAACTAGACTTGGACTTTGGTATATAATGAGAATTTATATTCAAATGTAAAATAATAGAATGCATTCTATTGTTTGTGTCAGAACCTCATTACTGAATTTAAGTTAAACATTTTTTATTTTTGACAAAAGATAGGAAATATTTCTTATGCAATGTCAATCAGTAATTACAACATATATGTAAAAGTTTTACCAGCCAGTCAATGACTCTGCAACTTATATTATTATCACTTGTTATTGCTCTAAAAATAATAGCCTTGATATAACTTACTTCCTATAAAAATATTTGGACAACATTTAATATTTATGATTTTGTTATATTTCCTCCTTTAATGTCTACCTTCATGGACCTTTTTGTGGATAATATTTGTAAAGTTTTACTTTTATTTATTTACATATTTTTTAGATAACAAGAAAGATACATGTTACTTATTTATCTATAAAATTTAATTTTGATATAACATACATTATTACAAGAATTTGATCGGAGAAAATATGTTCCACAAACTATTTTCTATCATGTGGTACATTTAAAGTCTAAATAAGTACCACAGGTGTGACAAAACATCTCTCTCTCTTTGTGAATTGTTTCCTCAACCTGGATTGTCACGAACATACCAAATGCTAATAAAAACAAAAAATATCAAGTTCTTGTCATTCTCCGTCCTTTGGGCAACAATGACAATACGAAAAAAAATGACAAAAGAAAGGAAATAATTATTTTATTATTAGTATCAAAATTCTTGGTTTCTTGAAAATGTTAAGGTTCCAGTACAGTTCGTAATTGATGTACAGGAAATCTTATTAACCTACATTACAACAATAATTGGTAGTTTATTAACATGAACCGTAATAACTAGATGCTAATCATTCATAAGTGTTTGATAAACTAATTCCGCTAATTGATGATTGCCGTTTATTATGTAGTACCACATACGCCAACATTCCAACATTGGCGTATGTTGCAAGTGATATGTCATCATCCGTTACAGTTGGCAACATGACAGCGGGCGACGTCCCGTTACTTGCGGCGCCTTGACGTCATATGTTACGGTGGGCATGTCAGTATTTGATGATTTTTTTTTATTTCTATCGTCGCGCATAGTGTGTCATAAAGATCCGTAAATTACTATTAATAAGTCCAACGTTAATTTTAAAATAAATAAAGAACAATGTCCTTGTGAAAATGTAGTCGTTCATGAGTCTATTTTTTTTTTCGTTCCACTGGCATAGCAACATAGATTTTTTTTGGCAAGCATTTGCTTTCGTATGTTAGGAATGCGTCGCATACAACAGTGTCACGTGACTATGGGATATTTGACACGTTGTTACTAAAACTGTGTCACTGTAACTACTAGGACATTCAACTCTTTGATAACAATTCTTTGCTATGCAGGAATAATTTTGATGAGTGAATTGCATATTTTAGTTACGTACTTGGTCTGTAATTAACGGATTTTAACAATCGTATTTTTTTAATTTTAATACTAGTGTAAACATTGTTAAAGTCAATGGTATTTAAAAGTTAGAAATTAGAAATTATAAATCGTCTATAGAGATACTAATTAACCTTACGTGACTAGTTTTTGCCTAATCATGACATAAGATTTAGGTAAAGAAAATATTTTTATAAGATAAGAGGCCATGTGCCTCTAGTCACAAATTCGCGATAAGCCTAATACTGTTGGCGATTCGACAGTCACGATAGACTGACGTTTAGTTATTACAGACTTAATTTTGTCTTTAAAATTGTCTTTTCTATCAACTTTTTCCCTCACAATGCGCGAGTAACGTTTTTTCATTGTAATAATAGCTCATTGTTTTCGACGTATTTGCGTAAACACGATTACTATTCATTGCCGCGCCATTTGTGACGAGACCTATTGATATGGAATAATTAGTGGACGTTTACATATAAGCCTTAAACATTGTGTAGTTTTTATCATTTCAATGGGTGAAATATCAATAATATCAAACATTAAAGAAACAAGAAAAATTTCTCGTAAATTTAGTAAGCGCCATCGTGACTCAGGTGCCCCAGCCCCTCGCCACTGGTTCAAGTGTTATTTCTTTACGATTGTATCGACAAAAACGTGCCCAACCTCCAGCGAAACTTAACCACGTTGTTTGAAAACGAAAGTAAACCGAGTCTAAATATAGCGTTCTCTATATTACGATTATAATTATCGTCTGTTCCTAGAATTAGTAAATGGATTAGTAGTAGAATTTTTTTTCCATGGTGTTATGATGTTTTTTTCAATGATTTCTTTAATCTACTGTTACATCTTTAAATTAAAGTGAACTATAAATTATTTGTTTTTCTAATTTCAAATGCGTTGTGTAACATAAAAAAAACATAGGATGTAAAAATATCCTCGAAGTCTCAATTTGATTATTAAAATCAATTTTTTTAATAACATAATTTCTTTACCGCATTGTCGCGGAAAATCGATTTCTGTGCCAAAACATCGATATCTTAGAATGTCAACATCAAGTAGACATGTTTCATTTATTATTTTAACTCAAACTTATTTAACTAGGTTCTTTTAAATGTTTTTAAACAACATTAATTACATGTCTGAGGCTGTATTTACCAAGCTATAAGACTTTCAATTTTGTTATTATTGTCGTTATTACAAAAAGTCATATATTTTTTTCTTTTTTATAAAACTATAACGTCGTAGTCGAGTTGCTTTAATTAAAAATCTTTTGATTAACTTTATGTCTAAAACATGGTCATATAAATGCATTATTTCGTTTAAAATATGACGTCCTTTTTATTCAGTTGTGTACTAACTCGTTTTTATTGGTAGTCCTTTAAGGTCCATTCAATATTTGTAGGGACATCTTCATTTTCACAATGCGAGTACAATGAAAACAAGCCATTCGGAACATGAGCTTCAAACGTATATGGAAATGACAAATACAAAGTGTAGAGGTCGCGGCGACTACGTGAATTGTACTCGTGTGACCCTCACTGTACAGTCGCACAGAATACGTTTATTTGATGTACAGTCAAAGAATTTAATTCGGGATGGAACTTTCATCATAAGGGCTATATGACATATAAGTATGTTCCTAAGACGAGTTTTCGACCTAATTGCATTATGCGCGTTTAATGGCATTTCACCTACGGAAATAAGTGGTCTTGACTGTCCTATTTTTTTTTAAGATTCAAAGAATCAGTTGTGATGGCGACTGTACTTTTACGTAAGAGTCTGGCGGTCGAGTTATCTGGTCGTAAGCCGTTGCTCCATTACCGATGCCTGCTATACCTTATTAGACCATTTAGAGACAATACGTGTGCGATCACGATCCGAAGCGACCCTACGACCCGAGACTTACAATCTGCCGATCTTTCTGCAACGCTTTGTATGTTTTCGCTTTTGACTGCACTTTCTTGTAATGCACGTGTGATCACACCTTTATAGCGATGGGTATTTTAGTGGCCGGAGAAAGTAGATTATAGGATTTTTAATTTAGATTATGAGTCTAGTGCCGCTTGATAATGACCTGGTTGTTGTAACCATAATATTGTCGCGCGACGCAAAATTTGTTGTTTAAATTAATTTTTCAACTTTGAACTATAGAAATAAGTTTAGTTTTCCATTATTAAAGACAAATTTTAATATTAAAATTACGTATGTTTGCGTGCTCGTAATACGCAAACAAAATATGCTTCGTAAGTAGACTTTGTTTATACATCAAGAGCTGACGTCGCGTTGTGGTAACACGTGGCGTTTGTGTCAATATGTAACTATACATTTATCAACAAACGACCGTCACCTTGACAATGCTGAATGTGGAAAATTGACGAAATTTATTACCTTGTTGTACATTTATTTAATTTTACTAAAATAAATATATGCATAAATACAAAATGATTAAACACCAGCATTTATTAATTTATTTTTTTACTATGTTTATATTTACTTTGATTATACAGCGTTTACTTTTAAATCATTACAAAATATTTTATAATGCATTTATTGTACATGATTGAAACAATAACGCACTATTATAAAGTTGCACCTTCAATACGTTTGAGTATAAATAGCACTGGCATGGAAGACTCCGAGACGATAACGAAGCGATTCGAATTTATAATAAAAATATTTATATTAAAGCTATACTAGAAAAATCGTAGTTGTTCAATGTATTGCTGGCTGAAAAGTTTTCTTTATAAAAATTAAATATTGTTTTACGAGAAAAAACTTTACTTATAAAATCTTTTTAACGGCCATTTACAATTTAATAAAAATATATAAAAGAAAAGTAATAAGTTGTTAGTCGTTAGTTACTTAAAAGGTTCTTATTCAACCTATCCATAATTTAGGTACTATTTATGAAAAGTAACTATTATCTTCGACATTAAAATTCATAAGTTCGTGTCGAATTTGTTCTGTCGTATCTTATCAATCGGAGCCCACAGTTGTGTGTCACGTGACGTATGAAAGTGCCCACCAAATGTCATTCGATATTAGTCGTATGACGTGAGTCTCTTTGGCAACGCACAGTATTCACGAAATTGTTGTATTTTATTACTATGTTTGTTTAATATGTTTGCGAAAGACGTTTTAAATTACGATGGCTTAAATAAATCGGTTCTTTCTTTTTGGTTAAGTTTTAACACGTTACTAAAACGTTTTGACATCCCTTTAAGAATGTGTGAAAACAAAATGTTAATAATAATTTAGTAATAATTTAATTTTCAATACAATAATTTATGACGTCAG